TGCTGAAAACCCAACGACTAAGTTCGTTGAACGTGCTGCTAAAACTGTAACTACTGACTTGAAATTAGATCAAGCACCTGGAGTCTCTTTCACTTTGAAAGGATATTCTTACTCATCAGACTTCAAAAACATTAACAAACTTTTCAAATCTGACATTGTGTCCAACATTGCCACGATTATGTACCAAAAGGACGTTGCTTTGACTCAGTTCGATTTGAAATATTTCGCCAAGGAAACCAAAAACAAGGATATCACCTTCGATTTATTCTACAGTAAGTTCATTTTTTAACTGTTTGCTTAAAATTTATACACAAGTTATCATTCGTACCCATTTCAATGCAAACCTAAATTTGTAATGTTTGTTTTTAGAAACATTGTTCAACCAAAAAGTAAGTGGTGAATTTGGACCAGCTGCGATCTTTGAAGATGTCTCAGCTAAGGCTCGCCGTGAAGAGATTGTCAAGCGTGCTGCTAAGGGCATCGAATCTGCTGAGGTCCAACTTTACGACTTGAGCACTGTATTTGATGGCGAACATAAAGTAGAGTTTGTATTCACTGCTGCTATCGCCGAGAGCTTTGTCGACAACAAGTCTCAAGGAGTATTTTTAATCAACGCATTGAAACAATTAAACTTTGTATACAAGCAAGTTAAGCCTAAGATCGTTCCTCTCAACTTCGAACAAGCTTTGAAAAACAAAATTGAGGTATCGTATGAAGCTGATCTGAAAATCGGCTCCTCCGAAAACTACCACATTCAAGGCAAAGGTGTCCGCAGCGAGAAATACACAGAGCTTTTGTCAAAGGATCCCTTGGCGAAACAATGCCTGGAAGAAACCAGCGAAGGTAACACTTACCAGAAGGACTGTTATAAGTTGATCATGAAAGCGCACGCTCCTGACTACTTTAAATTCAATGTAACTTTAGAAGACTTAGGCAATGTCTTCCTGGACATGTCATACGGCACATACGAATTATTTAAACAATTTTACTCCTGGGAACAGGAAGTTGACACATTGAAGAAAACTAACGCAGGTGTCATGGAACTTGAGGTACAGGCATTCTACTACGATAACTATGTAAACTACGAATTGACTTCCCAGTTTGGAGTAATCGCTTTCAAGAATGTAAAAGGCTTGGGATATTACCCATACGCTATGGCTTACTATGCCCCGACTACTGACTGGGAACGTGCTTACAACTACTACTACGGTTATCAATATATGCGTGAGTATTACGTCAGGCACAGAAATCAGTTTGGATTGTATTTTTGTGTAATGGTCGGTTTATAATTAACGGTTGTTATTCTATAAATTTTAGCTGCTTGTGCTGTGGACAGCAGCAAGGTTCAGACATTTAGTGGCCGCAGCTACGACTACAGCCTGTCCAGTTCCTGGCACGTTGTGATGGTTGACGAATCCAACGAATTCAAATGGACTGACTTGGTCATCCTTGCTAGAAGGCCCAGTGAGAACCAAGAGGAGGTCTACGTCTCTTACAAGTGAGTAGTTTGCTTTGTAAAGAAAATTTAATTATTACAACTGTTTCAAGTTTGAAGAGTTACTGAATATTTTTAGTCAGAAATATTATGTAGTAAAATTTAATCGATATATTAAATTAACGCTTTTATAACCATGTCAATATAATATTTACAGGACCGAAGGTGGCAAGTACGTTGAGCTGGACATCAAGCCTGAAAACTTTGATGTTAAGACCAACGGAAAGGATGTCACTGATGGCAATCTGGCTATCTACTGGGATGAAGACAAGGAAGTTCCCCTGCTGCAAATCTACACTCTCGCTGACGGTGTTAAGGTGTTCAATATTAACAATGGAGCCATTCGTCTAGTATACGACAGCCAGAGGTTGGTTGTTTTTACCGACGAACACCGTAAGACAACCAGAGGCCTGTGTGGACAGGATTCAACCCAAATCCGTGACGACTACATGACTCCATACGGTCTGGTGGACCTCCCCGAGCACTACGGAGCTTCCTTCTCTTTGGAAGGTGAAGGCAGCGACCCTAAGACTGTGGAGCTGAAGAAGGAGGCTAAACTGAAGGCGTACCAGCCTGTCACCAAGTACACCAACATCTTACGCTCCGACGATGAGTGGAACAAGGCCAAGAACGAGTCTCATTAAGTTATATAAGTTGGAGTATTCAAATAACTGATGAAAACTCGACGTTTAGTTAAATTGATGAACGGATTTCGTTTTTATATTTGTAAATACAGTATGTATCAAATATTTATTTCATATTCCTTGGAAAATGGCAGTATAAATAATATGAGGTATTTGTTATTGTATAACAATTTTACTTTAAGATGAGAGACAACTTGTATTTGAATGTTTCTGAGAATAGTTTATTTAAACAGCAGTACCTAAATAAAATAGTAATGAATGATTAAATCTGCAATTTTATTTTTTTGAATCAAAGCTTCTCCTGCATCCCTTTTGGATATTAGTTAATTCTTGGTCTAGTCTCTTCTTCTTCTTCTTGTGGGTCCACTTTGTTCCAGAAAATTGGCTATCATCTTTTTTTATTAGTTCTAGTTATTGATAGTTTAGTTTTTCGTTGGAATCGACACTGGTCTAGTCTCAATTAGTTAGGAAATTGAATTTTGATTGCAAACTAATCAACATAACTACTAACAGATAAGGTTTCAATATATTTGCAAATTTAGGCCAAATTGCCAATTGCAAAACTAGAGGTTAAATTTAATCATCTTAATATTTTATCATCATCATCAGTGTCTGCTGAACAATTTGCTACCCTTGTGCTATGATACCACGCTTGCTCAAAGGGAATGGGCGATTTCAACTTCATTAGAAAGATCAGGTTTTGTCTCGATATTTTCATTTATCATATTATTATTATTATGTCAGTGGTATCAAAAAAATCTGAGAAAGTATATTAAAATTGGATAAAGAATTTCATACTCTTAGAATGATGAAATAATCTATGAGTGGTTACCTTAACCCCCAGAAGCTAACCTAAAACTACTCATATAGATTTTACTCCTTTCTATTGTGTTTGGCATGATTTTATCACTGTGGCTATACGTAAGTGACTTAATATCCTGTGTCCCCTAGATGGGGCAGAGGGAGCCACTGAAGTTCTCCATCGCGATCTGTCTTGAGCTCACCTCACTTCACGTCATACCGATGCTCATCGCTTCTGCCAGTACTGTGCGGCGCCAGGTTTGCCGTGGATGGCCACGCTTTCTTTTCCCTTGGGGATTCCAATCCAAGGATTGCTTGGGTATGTGGTCAGTGCCCCTTCGAAGCGTGTCCTCTATCCATCCCCACTTGCGGCGCTTGATCTGTCGGTCGATTGGGCTTTTGTGGCATTTCTCCAAAAGCTCTATGTTGGAGATTGTTTCGGGCCAGTAAATTCCGAGAATGCGACGCAGGCATTAGTTAACAAAGGCTTGAAGTTGGCGTGAGATATCTTTAGTAACCTTCCACATTTCGCACCCATAGAGCAGTCCGGATTTTACATTGGACCCGAAGGCTTTCAGTTTAATCCTTCGGGTCAGTTTCTGTGACTGCCACACAGGTCTCAGCTGCGCGAAAGTAGCTCGGGCTTTTGCGATCCTTGAAGTGATGTCCTCTTCAGTACCTCCAGTCTCTGATACGACGCTCCCGAGGTAGGTTAATTTGTGGACGCGTTCCACTGCCTCTGTGCCAATCAGCACGGCGAAGCATGATCCCATCCAGAACGAACAAGAAGAGAAGCGGCGATAAGAGGCAGCCTTGTCGGACACCCGCGTGGACCACTATGTCATCGGAGATAAGACCATCATGTGTCACTTTAAATGCTCTCCAACAGCCGGAGGCTCCAGAATGATACGAAGAGTATTGATCTGGTCTGTACATAAACGGTTCGATCGAAAATCTGCCTGCCCCCTGCGTAGAAGAGCTTTTGACAGCCTATCCAAGAGAATCTTGCAAAAAAACTTTTGCGGGAATAGAGGGCAGTGTTACCTCTCCAGTTATCGCACTGACTAAGATCTCCTTTTTTAGGTACTGTGATTATAAGTCCCTTGTGCCAGTCATCAGGAAATTCCTCCAGCGTCCAGATTTTTCCAAAAAGAGGCGACAAGACGTCGACAGCGGATTTCCGCGGTTAACAAGTCGAGTCCTGGTGCTTTGCCTAATTTCAAGGAGCAACTTCACTAGCTGTTGGAGTCTCCGTCTCCATGTAGCCGAGGTAGTGTGGAATTAACAGCTAGAGCGCCAGGTGTCGCTGTAGCCGACATGCGAAAGATCTCCTCAAAGTGTTGACGCCAGCGAAGCAGCTGCCCTTCGGATATTGCAATGAGCTGAATGTCTTTAGCTATATGTAAGTAGTTATACGATATGAAAGATCAAAATATCATCTTATACCTCAGTAGTCAAAATTTTAAAGTAACATGGTTATCTCTTGCCTGTCCACTGTTATTATAAAAAATATCATATCAGTAAGTTTATATTTTTACTTGAAAGTCGGGGAGATAAATATTTTGATTGTTAATTATTATTCTGACGATGATTATTAACTAGACTTGTATTGGGTTTTTTTGTTACGTTACCCTTTGGTTAATAGGGTCATGCCTATCTGAATAATCCGCGGATATCGCACGATCTCCGGGGAGGCGGCGAACCTCCTTGCCGGATCACCGCCGTGGGATCTGGAAGCGAAGGCGCGCGTCTATAGTTTGCACGCAGACGCGCGTAGTCGGGGCGAGGATCCTCTGCCGCGCCAAATTAGTGCGTGGCGGAATGAGCTCCGGCGAGATCTCATGGCAGAGTGGAAACAACGACTGTCGCAACCGAGGGCCGGGCACGCTATTATAACAGCGATAAGACCCCTCTTTGAGGAGTGGCTTGAGAGAAGCCACGGCGTCGTCACCTTCCACCTGACGCAGGTCCTCTATGATAAGCAAGTAAAATAGTATATAAGTGTATGTATGTACTTGCCTTTATGTGATACGGCGGCATTAACGCAAACCTACTACCTGATGATAAGCAATCGGCTCAGGGACACCCGCAACACCAGAGGAGTTGCGAGTGCGTTGCTGGCTTTTTGGGTATAAGTGATTTTGGGGATTTAGGGATTGGGGAGGGACGGGGTAGGCATCGGGCGACCGGTGATCTTACTCATACAGTGAAACAAAGGACTGTGGTCTTTTCACGCGCGGTTTCTGTGGGGCTCTGGTATCACTCCGGTAGAAATAATCACAGCGCTGTATTTTGCCGTGTGAGTGAAGTTACCCAATCCCTCTCCAATCTCTAATCTCCAAAAGGTCGGCAACGCACTCGTAACTCTTCTGTTGTTACGGGTGTTCATGGGCGGCGTTGATTGCCTACCATCAGGTAAACCGTCTGCTCGTTAAAAACAGAATTTAAACCTGACCTGACCATAGCATAAGTGGATTGTTTGTCAAATAATGATTAATACTTAAACAAATAGTGAAAGAACAATTATTGATATAGGTACCTACCAATTACAGATTATCAGTTATCGTTCCCGAGGGATTAAAGGTCGTCCCACGGATGTCAGATTACAGCGTGTATAAAAACCTAAGTAATGCAGTTTCGTTGATCAGAAGTGACACGGGACCATTGTGACCACGAGATATTGCAAGTGCTTGGAATTATGAAGTTGCTTGTGTTGACGGCGATACTCGGTATGTGTCAATTAATTTCTATGTTCATTCATCAGGGTCATCTAATATACCAGATCTACACCAATTTGACTAATTTGAGCATAAAGGACGGATATAGTATACCTTTTACTCTTTTAAAACCCCATTTATATGAAATTTGCTACTCTCGCGCGGTTTCACCCGCTGTTCGGGTCAATTTGATCGTAGCGTAACTTTTTATAGCCTATAACAGTTAGGAACATTGTAGCTATATATCAGTGAAAGAATTTTGGCAATCCGACCCGCGGTTCCAAAGATTATCTCAGTTAGTTTTACCTCTTTGTAATATTACTAAAGATGAGGCGTGGAAGTTTGTATGAAACGCAATGTGCAATGTAGAAGGAAAAAAAATGGTACGCGGAGTATTGGGACTAACAAAAACTAATTACATTTTCTTTTATAAAATCTCTTCCAAACTCTCAAATAGGGAATTAAATTTGTTAAGTACGTGTTTTTGCTCAATCTTCATTAGCAGTTTAGTATATGGTAATATTTAGTTCTTTTGAAAATTTGTCACCAGCCATAAAATGCATTATTCGCCCATTGTATCGAAAATTTTAAAGATATAAAACTTTATCTACGGCAGTGTATTAAGTATAATAATATTCTGTTCAGTGGCCTCGTTTGTGTTCGAAATCAGAATAGTTGAACCGCGTTTAATGTTAGTAAAGAAGCTATAGAGTTAAGAGAGGAAGATATCTATAAAATATCGGCTTGTGCTACCATCAGATTTCCGCACTATATTCAAAGTTTGCATACAGTTTATTGTAAAGTGTAAAAAATTAGGTATAAATAGAAAGTTATATTAAAAATATATTTTATTTAGTCACCGATTTTTTCGTCATTCCTGTCATTTTCATATCATGGCATTGTATTTTTTGCTTTTACAAAACAGTAATAATTAATTTAGAAAAATGGTGGGGCGCCATCACGTCGCCCAAGGATATGCTGAAAATCAGCGCTGTGGCACCAATCCCTTGTGGTTGGGGTCTAAGCTAATGCCGATCGTGACCTTTTTTTTGCGCACGCACCACATTATATAACGGTGAAAAGAAGGAAATTCTCAACTTAATTTAATTATTATATGTTTTTTATTATTGTTTGGTTATAGTTTGTTACAAATGTTACTTTCTTGTCTTTATGGTCCGCAGATAATGAAAAAGATACACCTCGCGACCTCGCGCATAACGTCATACTCTGTGGACCAAAGACAAAGGGTTTCTTTTTTTATTAATTTATTTTAAGTATTATTTGTATCATTTAGTTTAGATTATTTGTATAGTTATTTTCTTTTTTTTGTACTTTGTTTTGTGTCTGCGCTTGCGCAAGAATAAATGTTTTTCTTTCTTTTTTCTTCTTTCTATATAAAGAAAAATCCTAGATGATTTGTATATATTTCTTAAAATATTAAATATTTTGGATTTGATTTTTAAATAGGTATTTTAAATTAGCCAGATACCTTTTCTCAGTGGTTGTACGTATAATTAATTATGAATGCCAAAGATAGCTCTTTTGGTTGTTCAGTTTAAATAGAATGTATAAAATCTTATTTCAGCCGCCGTCACTTGCAGTCCGGTCAGTGAGAGCAACACATGGCCTTGGCAAGTAGGCAAAGAATACTCTTACAATGTAGAATCTTATACTTGGACCAATTATGAGAAAAGCGACAGCTACGGAAATTCTTTCAAAGCTCTATTTAATGTTCGTGTCCTGTCACCTGGCCGATTGCTTGCTAAGCTAGAGAGCCCAATGTTCGCACAATTCCACGATCAGGTCACAAGGGAAGAATGGCCCACTGGGTTAGATTACAATCCTGTAGAAAAGTTTGATCACCCATTTGAAATTTTCGTCGACGGAGGACGTGTCGTCTCTTTGAAACTTCCAGAATCCCTCTCTGTGCCCAATGAAAACTTGTTGAAAGGTCTAATTGGTGCTTTGCAAGCAGATTTGTCCACATTTAATTATGTTGATAATTTTCCGAACAGCTATGATAAGGAAACCTTCCAAGGTTTATTCAAGAAGATGGAAAGTGATGTCACAGGCGATTGTGAGACACTATACTCTGTAGCTTCTGTTTCTGCCGATTGGCATCGTGAATTACCTGAATTTGCTGAAGATCCTATAGAAATCACTAAAAGCAAAAATTACGGTTCTTGTGCAAAGTATGTTGATTTTAATTTTGGTGTCCCTGAGGGTGCCGTGTGGAAGGGAATGGCTCATGAAAACGAGGAAAAACAATTCATCAAGCACACAACTGAATCACGTTTGCTTGTTGGCAAGCATGGCACGATTTACAAATCTGAGAGTTTTGACTCTGCTATAGTTAACCCACTTCTGTTTGGAAAACAAAAGGCGCAAGTTCACAGTTATATCAGCTTTTATCTTTTATCACTTCAGCCAGAAAGTTCCAAGGAATGGATTAAATCTGAGGAATATCGAACAGTTGACTCTTTGATGTTTACGTATGATCCTAAAACTATAATACCACCCAATGAAAAATCTGTTGCTGATGCACAGAAATTACTTCAAGAAATGGCTCCTTTACTTAAAGACCCAAGCGTTTTACCAAAGTCCGACTTCCTTTCAAAATATAAAAACTTAATTCGCTTAATAATGTTTATGAGTCCTGAGCAACTTGCTCAAATGACCAATAGCATTGAAGTTGCAAAATCATCGAAAAACTTGGCTAAGAATTATATGTGGATAATATATCGTGACGCTGTTGTCCAAGCAGGTACTTACACAGCTTTCCAAGAAATTAAGAACTGGATACAGTCTAATAAGGTTCAAAATGATGAAGCCGCGGATGTTATTACTTCTGTGGCCAGTGTACTTCGTGTGCGCACCAAGAAAGTTATGAGTGAATTTTTCGATTTAGCTATGAGTCCCAACGTTCAGAAGCAAGACTATTTTAATACAACTGCACTCTTGGCAGTAACTAAGTTCATGGCATCGTGTGAAGACGACTCCTTCGTAGAAGAGAAAGTTATTCCACGTCTATCCGAAGAACTGAAAAAAGCTATAGAAATCGACGACAAAAAAAAAGCTCAGGTTTACGTAAAAGTTCTTGGTAATTTAGCTCATCCAGAAATATTAAAAGTGTTCGCTCCTTATTTGGAGGGTCGGGTGCCAGTCACAAAATACTTGAGAATCCAAATGGTCATCAACCTTAAAAATTTGGCCAACACTAAGAATGAATATGTACGTGCTGTACTTTTTAGCCTATTAAAGAATACTGCTGAGCCTTACGAAGTAAGAGTTGCAGCTGCTCTAAATATTTTCCTTGCCTATCCAAATCATGAAATGATGCAAATAATGGCACACATGTCAGGTACTGATCCAAGCACACAAGTTCGTGCAGTACTGGCAAACGGCATTATATTTGCAGCTGGACTGAAAGATCCTCGTTTTGCAAAACTGTAAGTACGCTTTGCAAAGAAGTTAAATATAAATCTCTTCTGTATTAAAATATAATACTTATATTTGACAATGACTGAATTTCGTGAATAAAAGAACTATTTTGAATAAAAATAACTTGTATCTAAATACACATATTATTGTTTTAGCGCTAGGACTGCAAAATCGGTCCTGTACATGATACCTAAAGAAAAGTTTGGCTACCGCTACTCAACTGAAAGTTTGGTCGACGAGTATACGAGTGACGATGTCGCAGCACACTTTAGAGAACTTTCATATATTGGAAGTGAAAATCATATTCTTCCCGTATACCAAAGAGCTGGACTAAGATTCGGAAGTACTGGTTGGACTGAAGAAGACTGGGTAACGAATATTTTCAATCATTTTTTTAAATTAATTACCTATAAAAACAACATTACTTAGAGATTCAAATGGTACAAATGTCTAACAGTTAACATAAAAGTAAAATATAAAGCATTTACTTGAATAAATAAACGTTAAGGCAGATAAGGTAGTCCAAAAGCTTTTCATGAGTATGTAGATTCGCATAGAGGAGAACCACAAAGTAATCGATCTTATAATTTTCTCTGTTTGTCTTCTATTTGACCAACATTTTGCCTAACAGAACACAATGACGTGGCCTAAGATGGAGCACGCCTAACCATGAGTAGACTATTCACTCCTGCCTTAAAAACACCTTTCAGCAAATAATGTTCTACAAGTTTGACCTTCTCTGATTTCAGTTCACCTACTCTATATCGGATATGAAGCACTTAGTCGACTATTTTAAATGGTTATACCTTCATGTACCTGAAAAAAGTTATGAAGAAATGAAATTCTCAAGTAAAAAGATAGCTGAGTTACTGAACATCAAGCCTAAGCATCTCTGTTATCTTGAGGGATCCTTTTTCATAAACAATTTGAACCAGCAAACACTGTTACCTTTCACTCAGGATGACCTGGACTCTCTACTGAAAGACCTTATCGAAAAGGGAGGACAGCCATCAAATGAAAATAGTAAACATATTAATTTCACCAACCTCTTAAGGCAGAAACAGGTCTTCGTCACTTTCCCTTTAGCTACAGGCATGCTTTTTGTATACGACTACAGCGAACCAACTGTTGTTAAGATGCAAATGCAATCGGAAACCAACAAAGAAAATGTTTTAAATTGGAATTTTGATCTGAAATTATTATATGCCAGAAATATGGATGGTAGCGTTGGTTTCTTTGATGCCTTTAGTAACTTATACGTGAGTTCAGGTGTTATTAACAAATTTCAGTTTTATATTCCTTTGAAAGGGAGCCCAACATTGGTATTAGGCAACTTTCAATTAGTCAGCTTTCAATTAGGCTTGAAAATGGAAATGCCTGATCAAAATGTCAATTTGATCCACATGAGTGTGTGGCCTTACATCTCACGGTACGAACTTAACTCACCGGTGACTGCTTTGCAAAGTCCAGCAACCAAACTTATCGAGGGCCCTAAGAAGGTTGTTTCTGCTCCGTTTAAATTTGGTGAGACAACCGGTACCGTGTTTGAATTTAATGGATTTTCGTATTCAAATGACTACAAGAATCCTCTAAGTTTGTTCGATGCTGATTTCCTTACAAATGTAAGAAACTTGCTGTACCAAAAAGACGTTGCCCATACTGTATTTGACTTAAAGTACCTTGCTAAAGAGTCACAGAACAAGGCAGTGATGTTCAACATATTATCTCGTGGTAAGTTGTTGCAAACTTTTTATTTAAAAATTACTGCCAAATTAGTAACCCACATATTATATATTTTTATAGTCGTATGTACAAAAAGTAATTAAGTAGTTACTATACGTTGGATATGTATCAAGATATAGTGATAGCAGTTCATGTTATATTTATTTGAAATCACAATTAATTCTACCTGCATGAATAACAAAATGAAATGTACAGCAATTTACTGATGATAACTAATAATCTGTGATCAGATGTTAAACAATCACATTTGCAGTTACAACACGACTATTACAATAAAATATTTAAATAGCTGTCATGAAATTAAATCATTGACAACCTCGGTTATATTTTTATAGGTTCACAATACAGTCTAGAAGGTACGAATGAGGAAATGCAACCAGCAAAGACCATGGAAAAGATCACCGTACCTGAACGTTATGACGAAATATGTAGGCGAGCTGTTGAAGGCATAGAATCTACAGCCAAAGTTGAATTAGTTGACGTTAGCGTAGAATTTGAAGGAAAAAAGAAACGTGAATATATATTTACCAGTGCTATTGCCAAAGGTTATGCTGAAAACAAGATTCAAGGTGCTTTGTTTATAAATGCTGATGAACAAATTAATGCTGTATTCAGGGTGGTCGAACCTCAAATAGTTCCATTGAACTTTGAGGAGGCTCTTAAGAATAAATTCAAAGTTAAATACGAAGCTGACTTTAAATTTGGCAAAGCTGACAATATTCACTTCAAAGGATTTGAGGAGCGTAGTAAGATTTACACTGAGCAGTTACGAAACGACCCCTTAGGAAAACAATGCCTAGAAGAAACTAAGCGAGAAAATATCTACCTTAAGGATTGCCACAAAATGATCATTAAAGCTTACGCTCCTGATTATGCCAAAGGAACGTTTTCTTACAAGGAACTTCCCGCTGATTGGAACAAATGGAATGTGACTTACAATCTTTATAAATATTTCAAAAACTTATACAAGTGGGATGAGCAAGTAGACCAGTTTAAGACAACCAACGACAACACATTGGAAATTGTCTCCCAAGCTTTCTACTACGACAACTTTATCAACTATCAGTTTGCTAGCAAGTATGGAATGGTTCAGTTGAACAATGTGGAGATTTTGCCATATTACCCTTACGCCGTAGCTAACTACGCGCCTCTTACTGCCTGGGAACGTTCTCGAAACTGGTTTACTGACTATCAACACTTACGTAAGTATATATGTATACAGTAATTTGTAGATTTTCATTGACATTGAAGCTATTTTAATAACAAAATATTTTCATATTTTAGCTTTCTGTACCGTGGATGACAACAAAATCAAGACATTTAGCGGTCGTGAATATGATTACAGCGTGACTAATGCATGGCACGTGGTTATGGTGGATAAGGCAAGAGAGTTCGACAATGACGTTGTAATTCTCATTAGAAGAGAATCAGCAAATCAAGCAGTAGTTTATGTCTCATACAGGTACAGAAATGAATTTGTTACGTAGGTATTTGTATAAAATTTCGATTTAGCCCGAAGGTTAAAACGCCCACTTATGAAGCCTTGGTTTCGAAACCTAGCAAGTACCAATGTGACTTTTTCCAAGTTATATTTAGTTACTTTTTAAGTTTATGACACCACTGAATCACAGTAAAAACCTAGACTTCAAATTTATAATTATATGAAGAGGCCTTTATTCAGTAGTGGGCACTTAGGCTGGTGATATTATGTGGCGTATTTTGCACGACAGATAAATAGTGGATATGCAATCATTACTTCTGATAGTAATATATTTAGAAGTGAATACTGTCTTAAATAATTAATTGTCGGCTGCAGTTGCGCTGCTTGTAAAATATTGCACTCAGTAGAATGTTTTAAAGGTTAGGTGCACGGCGAAAAGCTGGGAACAAAAGATATCCATTAACCTTTTTTGCAGTACTTCTACAATAAAAATCTAGTATTAAACGTTTTTGGTTGTTTAAAATTTGCTTTTATTTTCTTTAGGACTCTACTTGGACAATCTTTGGAGATTGAAATCACACCAAAAACAATAGAAGTTACAACAAACGCGACGCGTCTAGCTTCGAATGGAGTCTCAACATATTGGGATCCTGCATTGAACGCTCCTCTGTTGGAATACTACACCATTGCCGAAGACATTGAGTTCTTTAGCATTAACAATGGCCGACTCCGTTTCATGTACGACAATCATCGCCTTATTATTTTCACCGATGATCACCGTAGCTCCACCTGGGGTCTTTGTGGACAGAGCACATCACAAATCAGCGATGACTATATGACTCCTTATGGTCTGGTCTATTTGCCTAATTACTACGGAGCGTCTTTCTCATTAGAGGAAGAGTTCAGCGATCCTTCTACCGTCGAGTTGAAGAAGGAAGCTAAATTGAAGGCGTACCAGCCTGTCACGAAGTACACAAACATTCTCCGCTCTGATGACGAGTGGAGCAAGATCAAGAATGAGTCTGCTAAAGGAGCGAAAGTTTTTAAACAGAAGCTTTGAGTTACGATAATTTAGGTTAATCATTGTTATAAACTGATTATTTAAATTGTTAAATTATTACCCAACAGCTGACTAGCAATTCTGTTTTTAGAATATTTTATAACTCTGTTCACCTGGTGTCGTATATAATATTAACATTACCAACACTTTATATTTTGTTCATAAAAAGTATGGCTTTGTTCATGCAGACGCGGTTTAACATAATACTTATAATGTTCATATAGCCTAAGCCTATTTGTAAACATAAACCATTGAAGTATGTATTAAAATAAAAAATACTCAATCGCATCTGTTAAATTATTATTATAAATTTACCTACCAACATAATTGTGTATTCCGTACTTATTTGATAATAGTAAATACCATAATTATAGGTACCTGTGACTGCATTGTTGACACAGTGACTTGACAACTGGCTGCTGTGCAACGTGTTGCAGATTCGATTCTCACACGGAAAACATTTTGTGTGATCCACAAGTTATTGTTTCCTTCACGACACAGGAGAAAATCCTAACGTAGGGCAACTAATAATAACAGAAGACTTTTCCATGTCAATGGTTGCAAATGTAATTGTGGAATACGAGATTCAGGGTTGTCTATAATTGTTTGCCCGAAGATTATATATATGCCATAATCATCATTTTCCCGAATTTCATTTGCCCTAAAAGACGTATGATATAGTTTTAATTACCCGAATTTTAGATACCATAAGGTACGAGTGCCATAAGTATTGTTTGCCTTATTTTTATGTGCCCCCGCTTCGCACGGGTCCAACTATCTCGCTATCAAAGGTCACTTCTCCTAATTTCCCCTCTACTTTTCTAATATTTTTGATAAGAACTGAATTTTCCTGACAAAACATAACAAAAAAAGAATTACCAAAATTGGTACATGCGTTGTTGAGTTATGCGCTTACCAACACATTTTGCGATCCATTTTTATATATAAAGATGATTAGACATAATATTTAAATGGCATAACAAGTATTAGACTAATATTTAAGCCCCGTAATAATCATAACACATGACAGCATGCAAGCAATCGTGCAGCATGCAACCAAGCATGGTATCTGTGACGGCTCCGGCGCTGCGGCCCTCCGGTGACTCCACGCCATTTTAAATAAAACCCCCGGGGTAGGACTAACAAGACTACGTGAAGTTTTTTTTTACGGTTTTGCAGTAATTCGGTTCTAACTACAGCTCAAAAGAAAAGAAAAAAGAGCCAAAAGTCTACCACAGAGGGGGCTCTATAGAGCTGATGTTGCGCAATGAGGCACCGCGACCTTGGCTCAGAGCAGGAGAAGGAACAGGGGGGTTTTTAGTCAGTAAGAGTCTGACACTCCCTCCTGCTCAGCTCTGGGTGGGAAAAGTCATTTGATGATTTTCTCCTCACAAAAAAAAGGATAAAGGATTTGAGGATGGGGAGGGGAAAGGTTTGGGCCTCCGGTAACCTCACTCACATGGCGAAACACAACGTAGGTAAGTGTTGCTTTACGCCGGATTTATGTGAGGCCGTGGTATCACTCCGGTCGTGCTGAATCATGGCTCTCCCAAACTAGCATGACACACACATACGTACAACCAGTGTTTGAATTTAAATTACAATAATAAGGCTATTAATTAAACATCCTCAAATCCCCTATTCTTAAATCACTAATAACCCACAAGAGGCCGGCAATACACTTGTAGTAACTCCTTTGGTATTACGAGTGTTACGGGCGGTGCTGATTGCTTACCATCAGTTAATCCGTAAGCTAGTTTGCCGGCCTTATACATAAAAAACTAAGGGATAGTTGATCCTTTTGCTTGCCTCTTTCACATTCCGTAACTTAGGTATACCCACCCTTTCAAAGTACTTGTATAAGGTTGATTTGAAATAAATGTCTCTGACTTTGACCCATTTTTTTCTACCGGATAAAATGCCTAATCACGTAGCCAATTTGAAATGGTAGTGTTAAACCGTAATACTGACTAAAACCAGTGCTTTACGAGCACCAGGGAGTGAGTGTCAGGCTCATACTGACTAAAAACCCCCCTGTTCCTTCTCCTGCTCTGAGCCGAGGTCGCAGTGCCTTATTGCGCTTACCCCACAACCCCGGCTGAACATCAGCCCTATAGGGCCCCGTTTGTGGTTGTCTATTGGCTCTTTGAAGCGCGCGTGGTACGCTCGGTAAGGGCTCATTTGATAATTTACAACAAAAATAGAAAACGGAAGAATAACATCTTTAAAAGAATGAAATACTACATATGTGAAACAATAAATAGAATAGCATATATTTTAGGTATTATCTTTTTTGGATGCGTAAGTTATCACGTTAGTAAGGTTACATGGGTCTCAACCTAAGTGTATACGAACGATTGTAAGTATAAAACCTGATTTACACTTATCTTGTATCAGTGTGCTTAACCGGTCTGCACTGAACACGACTTCAGAATCTCTTGGACTATGAAAATTCTGGTGTTGACGGCGATCATCGGTAAGTGTTAAAAAATTATCAATCAAATATCTTAGTTTTGTTTGCTAATTTTAATAATTTAAGAGAAAATTGTGAAAGGTATCAATGGGCAACTTTCTTTGCTGCCAAGGCAGAAATAGACGGACAGAAATAACAGCTACAGCTAAATTTCCCATGACAGATTGCTGTGCAAGGATAGAAAAGGGCAGACAAGAAAGACAAAAAATTAAAGTTTTAAAATTAATGTTTTAGCAATAATTATTATTTTAGGTTTTAGTTTTTTATTTACAGTGTTGTATTTAGATTTTAAAGTCGCGATTGAAAAATAACACGACTAAGGTGTCTGCTGGCATAAACATGTAAATATTCGTATTTTCGTAATGTTATTGACGAAATAGGTGTCCTTTTATGGATTTGTTGCCTTTTTTAATTTAACACACACACATACTAGGTATAGCTTTGATGAAGGTAAATAGTAAGTACTAATAGTATTTTGGAGTAAGTTATTTTGCATTGGTTAATTCAATTTCAAATTTAATACAACTTATCTATGTATTATATATATAAACTGCATGAATTTCTCTTCTTGTGTTAATATGTTCATCTTAAGCTTATCTTCATGGGTGAAAACAACTCGGAGGTTAAGTAAACATACTTAAAATCTTACACAGGCGTGTTGCACCACGAAATAAAAAATTGAACTTTTATTTTATACATAAATTTTATTCACTCAAGTTATAAGAGACGAGCAATATTCTCGATATAAAGTATAATAACATTACCGATAATCATGCGAATGTGAAAATATACACATCACACTCACACCGGGAACTAACATTTCTGGATAATACAAAAGGATGTTAAACAGGGAATCAATTACGACGGAAGTGTACCTTAATAGGTGTAAAATTGTGTACCCTACACCGTAACTCTTTTCCAGCCACAGCGTCGACTGTGAAGTATGTTCTTAGACCCACGCATTATAAGATAAGCTAATATAATAAGTCAAGGAACATTAAAATTTGGTAATGATCCCATACTAGATAACATGGGAATAGAACTGATGAAATAGAAACATACATACTTAAAATGCGTCATTAATGACTATTGTTACTTAACCCCGAACTTTATTTCAGCCGTTGTCGCCACAAATCCACTAACAGGAAATGCTAAATGGCCCTGGCAAGTAGGAAAAGAATACGTCTATGATGTTAACACTTACACCTGGACCAAGTTCGAGAATAGCAACAGCAATGGCAACGCTTTCAAGTCCCAGTTAGCGATCCGCGTCCAGGCCCCTGGACATCTTCTGGCTAAATTACAAAACCCCTTACATGCACAGATTCAAGGAGTGATGAATATCAACGATGTTCCTTCTGATTTGAAATATGAAGATGTTCCGAAGATCGACGAGGTTTTCGAAATTTTTGTCGATGGAGGTCGTGTGCTATCTTTGAAAGTACCTTCCTCCCTGCCATCGGACAATGAGAACATAATCAAAGGTTTGATCAGCGCACTCCAAGTCGATTTATCTACATTTGGACATGTGGACAATTTCCCCAACAGCTTCGACAAAAATACCTTCCAAGGTCTGTTCAAAAAATCGGAAGCTGATGTGACAGGCGACTGTGAAACTTTATATTCAGTTTCTCCGATTTCTGTAGAAGTACGTCGTGGCTTGCAATCATTTGCTGAAGACCCCATAGAGATCACTAAAAGTAAGAATTACGATTCGTGCAGAAGACTTGTTGGTTTAGGCCTTGGTGTCCCAGAAGGAGCCGTTTGGAATGGACTTGCTTATGAAAACGATGAAAGACAGTTCATCAAGCATACTACTGAATCACGTATTCATGCTGGTAAACAAGGAACAATCTACAAATCGGAGACATTGGACACTGTGCTTGTAAATCCTCTCTTGTTCGGAAAACAAAAAGCTGAAGTTTACAGTTACGTTGGTCTCGTTTTGTCTTCTGTGGAGGCGATAAGCAACACCGAATGGGCGCAATCGGAAAATGTTCGAGCAGTTAAATCACTTTTGTCGTCAGAGGGATCTAACCCATATTTTAAAGTTGACCCAAAGAACATTGAAAATGCCCAAAAAATTCTCCAAGAAATCACTTTACTACTGAATGACCCTAGCAGCTTACCCGAAAACAATTTTTTGACTAAATTTAATGTTCTGGTTCGTTTTATCATGTATATGGACTACGAACAATTAAAACAGATGACGGAAAGCACTGAAGTCGGTAGGACCGCAAAAAATGCAGCGAAATATAAAATGTGGACTATCTATCGTGATGCAGTTGCACAGGCAGGTACCCACGCGGCCTTCAAAGAGATTAAATCGTGGATTTTAACTAAGAAAATCGAAGGTGAAGAAGCTGCTCAAGTAATCGCGTCTCTACCTGGTAGTCTTGGTTTACCAAACGAATTATTGATGAAGGAATTTTGGGAACTTGCATTAAGCCCCGAAGTTGTGGAACAAAGGTACCTTAATAGTTCTGCTTTACTGGCCGCTACAAAATTTATTCGAAAAGGAAACCAGTTTATTGTAAGAACAGTTATTCCTCGTCTTTCTTCTGAACTTAAGAAAGCTATCGAAAAAGGTGATAACAGCAAAGCTCAAATATATATTAGATCACTGGGCAACTTAGATCATGCTGATATTTTAAAGGCTTTTGCTCCTTACCTTGAAGGCCAAGTCACCGTTACAAAGTACCTCCGTACACAAATGGTAATCAGTCTGAAAGCTTTGGCTAACAAAAAGAACGAACGTGTTCGCGCTGCACTCTTTAGCATCTTGAGAAACACTGCTGAACCATACGAAGTCAGGGTTGCTGCCGCTCTAAACATCTTCTTAGCTTTCCCCACTGCAGAGATGATGCAAATTATGGCACACATGACTAACGATGACCCGAGTCTCCAAGTTCGTGGTGTAATAGCAACTAGTATATCCTTTGCAGCTAATCTCAAGGATCCACGTTTCGCAGAGCTGTAAGTCATGTTAAATTTTCATTTATAAAAATAGAGTCATGATCGAAGAAATTCATTGCATCCACAACATGCTGACAACTGCTACTTAAGGAATTGACTAATAATATTATTTACGTCAAAAGTAAATTTTGGCATAACTATTTTTTTAATTGGGTAGTTTCCAAGGTCATTACTATTCAGTATAATTTTAGATTTTTTCTAACTTTTTAAATAAGTGTGATATTTGTCGTATAACACTATGAGACATCATATGTATGATGCGATCTACTACAAAATTCATAGAAAGTATCGCTTATGTCATAATTTTTTTATAAAATTATTGAATTTGACTAGTTGAGACCTAGCCAAATTTGCGAAAAGTAAAACCTCACTACTAACGACGTTGTCTACTATTTCTAATAAATATGTAATATATATTGTCAGAGCCAAAACCGCTCAAGCTGTTTCAAATATAGTATCTAAGGAGAAATTCGGGTACCGTGCATCTGCCGACAGTATAATTGATGACTACACTTCCAGAGATGACCTTGCCCACTTCAGGGAATTGTCTTATATCGGCAGTGAAGACAGTTTTCTACCTAAGTATCATAGGTCAGCCTTGAGATTACGAAACAACGGGCTGACTGAAGAAGATTGGGTAATGTTTTATAAATATATCGCGTTTAATGAGAAATTATCTCTATACTGATATGTAAAATTTGTAAGTTTGCCGGAACCACTGGTCGGATTTCCAAAATTATTTCACTGATAAATACCTACAATGTTCCTGAGTGCTATAGGCTATCAAGTTTATTATACTATTTTAGTAGAGCTATCGCTTTAAACGCTGCTGTTTTTATAATCTCGAGATATATTACTTTGATACGCGACCGAAGCCGTGGGCAAAATTTAGTAATTAATAACTTTAAATATCTCAGCTAACGTTATACAAAAGGTTAACTTAATTTTACGAATAATGTGTGAATTTTTTTGTATTTTCTGCAAGTATATTGGTTAATGCCCCATTTTTAAACTAATTTGACAATATATTTTAATATTTTTTTAGAACTTTATCATGTCCTGTACTATTTTCACGATAAATTTTCTTTTCAGATCTCTTTTTCCGTTTCTGACGTTAAAGATCTACTCAACTACGTGCGGAACTTTTTCTATGTTGAGGGATTTACTTCAGAGCCCGAACTAAAATTCTCCGCCAAGAAAGTTGCCAAAGAACTTAACATTAAACGTGAACCTCATGATCCAATTGAAGGCGCATTATTCATTGATAATTTGAACCAACAAAGACTTTTCACTTTCGATGAAAAAGTACTACCTGGTTTGGTTTCGGATTATATCAAAAAAGTTCAAGGACTATTCAATCGAGATGAGAAACAGTATACGAAGGTGATAATCGGCAAACAAGTTATTGTTACCTTCCCTCTAGCCACTGGTATGCCTTTTGTTTACACATACAGTGAGCCTATTCTGTTCAACATTGAAGGCGGCGCTGCTTCTAAACTAACCATGGCAAGAAGTGTTTCATTTGACTATAATATTAAATTCACATATTCAAGAAATTTGGACGGCCGCGTTGGTTTCATAGATACTATGAATAAAGTGTACGCAAGTAGTGGAGTAATCAACAAGTTACAGTATTTTATACCAGCCAAGTTTTCTATAAAACCGCAGATTAATGACATAACATTTAATATTGATTTTCCTAAAAAAGACGCCAACCTTGTTCACATGAGTGTATGTCCTTATACATCTCTACAAAAACTGGATTCTGCATTGGCAGTATCTGACGATCCATCCACTAAAGTCATTAAGCGCTCTGCTCCAGTTTTGGCTACTGACGTAAATATTGGGGAATCTGCTGGTGTCAGCCTTAACCTAAAGGGTCACTCATACTCAAACGATTTCAAGAAAAATATTTTCTCTTCTGATATTTTGACGAACATCCGCAACCTGCTGTACCAGAATGATATTGCTTGTACGCACTTTGAATTGAAATACATAGCTAAGGAAACTAAAAACAAACAATTTACTTCGAAATTATTATTTGGTAAGTTGCTACTATTTGGTAATCAATTAAATGATAAAATAACTTTTTTAACGAAATTTATAAATAATATATGATACCTAATAACCGTCTTACTAAGTACCCAAGTAAATACATATAAGAATTCTATTCGTACTATACCATTATTACAAAAACCATATCTATCTATCTTTTCAGAGACTCTATACGATCACAAAGGAGATGATGAAATCGGGCCAGCCGAAGAAATTATTCATATCTCAGCAAATAATTTGAAACGTCGTAAACAATTAGCCGATCGCGTTGCATCGGAAATCGAATATGCTAAAGTTCGAATTATTGACTTCAGTGCTGTATTTGAGGGCCAAGACAAGAAAGAGTTTGTATTCACTGCAGCGTTAGCTAACAGTGCAGCAGACAATAAAGTTCAAGCTATTGTATTTGCTAATGTTGGCGAACAAATTAATGCCGTTTTCAAAATGGTCAAGCCTAAAGTTATTCCAATAAATTTCGTTAAAGCTCTAAAGAATGAAATTAAGATAGAATATGAAGCTGACTTTAAATATGGAGACTCTGAAAACATTATTTTCAAAGGCTATGGCCAACGAAGCAAGGTATACACTGAAAGATTATCCAATGATCCTGTAGGAAAGCAATGCTTGCTAGAGACCAGCAACAAGAACTTCTACCAGAAGGATTGTTACAAAATGATCATCAAGGCACACGCACCTGATTACTTTAAGGGTACAGTGACATATAAAGAACTTAACCCTGTACTTTTGGACGCTATCTACAAAATATACAATGTTTTTAAACACTTTACTACTTGGGAAGAGGACGAGGATCTATTGAAGGCTACTGATGATGGTAAAGTGGAAATCGAAGCACAAGCGTTCTACTACGACAACTACATTAACTACAAATTCAACACCAAATATGGAGAGTTCCGCATGAACAATGTCCAGGGCCGTTCCTACTACCCCTATGCTATGGCTATCTATGCGCCCATTACAAATTGGGAGCGTTCTTATAACTGGTTCACCGGCTACCAACATTTGCGTGAGTATTCATAAATCAATAATTCATTTTAATGGGTAATGTGGGCATTGCGTTGCTATATTTTGTTTTCTTTCAGCTTTCTGTACTGTGGACGATAACAAGATTAGGACATTCAGCGGCCGCAGCTATAACTACAGTCTGACGGGTTCTTGGCACGCTGCTATGGTCGACGAGACCGGTGAAAATGGCAACAAACTAGTCATCCTCGTCAGAAGACCCAGTGATGGTGATCAGGAGGTCTACGTTTCCTACCAGTCAGTATTTACTTGTTTTTAAACAGCATGTTGGAAGCGATTGTAAAATTCAAATATTAATTTTAAATGAAACACAAGATTTCTGGCGTACTTAAAAAAGCCAATGATGATTGATTTATATTAATTTAACCAAATAAATTGTATTTCAGTACCGTGACGGGTTACAACGTGGAGATTCAAATTGGCTCAAAACAATACGAAGTGACCAGTAACGGAAGAGAAGTTAGCGACAATTATGTAACCATATATTATGATGATGTTTTGAAGATTCCTGTCGTAGAATATTACTACGTAATCGAAGACAATTACCAAGTATACAGCTTGAACAACGGAGCCGTCCGATTTATTTACGACGATCACCGCCTTATCATCTTTTCTGACGATCACCGCAGCACCACCAGGGGTCTCTGTGGACAGAGTACTTCCCAACCCAGCGACGACTACATGACTCCATACGGTCTGGTGGACCTCCCCGAGCACTACGGAGCTTCCTTCTCTTTGGAAGGTGAAGGCAGCGACCCTAAGACTGTGGAGCTGAAGAAGGAAGCTAAACTGAAGGCGTACCAGCCTGTCACCAAGTACACCAACATCTTACGCTCCGACGATGAGTGGAGCAAGATCAGCAACGAATCCGTTAAAGAATTGTAATTGATCTGCAATAATAACGGACCTAAGCACGTCATATAGACTAAGATGGATTGATACACGAACATTCAGCGCTCTGATGATAAGTGGAGCAAAATCTAGAAATAGTCTGATAATAAAGTGTACTGTCTTTGTTAACTAAATAATGTAACAGAAGTATTTTTATTTAATCGATATTATCTATACGAAAACTAATATTATAAATGCGAAAGTAACTCGGTCTGTCTGTTTGTCTGTTTTCTTCATGCCTAAACTACTGAGCCGATTTCTGTGAAATTTGGTACAGACATAGTTTGGAACTTGAAAATGGACATAGGACAGTTTTTATATCAAAAATTTGTAAGAAGTCACTATTCCACGCGAACGGAGTCGCGGGCAAAAGCTAGTGATATTATAAAGCTGAAGAGTTTGCTTGAACGCGCTTATTTCAGGAAATACTGGTTTGAATTGAAAAATTATTTTTGTGTTTAATAGACAATTTATTGGAAGGCTTTAGGCTAGAAAACATCACGCTACAATCTGTAGGAGCCGAGCAGCCGGTGAAACCGCGCGAGAGTAGCTAGTTTCATTATAAGTATACAGTACAGACGACAAACTAAAAAATCTACTTTTAATATTTAACAAGCTTCAGTACAGTAAATAACGGTTTAGCCTACCTGGCCTCCGCCAAGACCATGAAAAAACCGGAAGGTTTTAGTCTGTTAGTGTCTGCTCTCGTCTTACCCTGGGCTAGAAGAAAGAAGTCATATGATGATTTTAACACCTCAAAAAGTCAACAAATGAATATACAAGCGAATTTTTCCTACAAATATATCATTCAAATTGTATTTTAGTATTGGTCTCGCTTTACTTTAACAAGGGCTGATTTTTCAATAGTCAGATAAATGTTATCTGAGGAATAGAATTGTTGCTGTCACTGTCTTATACAAACATTGTGACGCGACAGCATCATACTTATTCCGCAGATAACTTTTATCTAACCGTTGAAAAATCAGCCCTAAATAAAATTGGTAGTGACTGATAACCAAAGCGGTGATCTGGCAAGGAGGTTCGCCATTACCCCGGAGAAGCTGGCAGAAGCTAGTTATTTCATAAAAATAGTTTAATAAGTTGAGAAAAAAAATTAGTATTGTTTACGTTTTTTAAAGATTTGTTAGTTACCACATTCATGCACTTTTTGACAAGGGGAATAAAAATTACAAATAACACTAGGTAGCAACACTCCCTGAACCTTTTAAACAGACTTCTTTAATCGAACTGCTGAATGAGGAAATTAAAGCAATACCCTCTTGTGAAAAGGAAAGCCATAGCGTGTTCTATAGCTTTCCTCTGTGAACTGTAAATTGTAAGCACATACCTACCTTCATACATCGAAAGCCTATTCCTGCCCACTGCTTAGCAAAAACAGTAATATTAAAATAGTATTATCCCGGCAAATGTTTTCTTACACGGAGAGAGTTTGAGCATTAGATAACAATCATGCTTGCTCATGCAAGCGTATGTGATAGATTGGCAAACGAGCATAAGTATTACCTGATGGTAAGCAATCAGCGTCGGCGTGGACACCCGCAACAACTGAAGAATTGCCGACCTTTTGGGGATTAAAGATTTGGAGATTTAGGGATTGAGAAGGGGAGGGATTCGGCGTCCGGTAACCTCACTCACACGGCGAAACATAACGCTGTAGTTTTTTCACGCGTATCACTTTGGTCGAGCTGACCCATTCGAGCTGAAGCATGGATCTCCCACACTTAGAAGACTTATAATTTGAAATTATTAATCCAGGTTTTCTTACCATATTTTCCTTTGCCAGCCTTTTATTTCCTTTCCTTTGCCAGTGGTACCTAAATAAAATGATAAAGTACCTGTAACTGGGAAAAGTTTCATAGCTACTTGCCAGGTATTGAACGAACGCCTTAACCTCTAGACCACCACGTCTCTAAATGTTTATTAAAGCAATGATGAAAATTGGTTATACATATTTTAGTGACACGTCTACGTACCTCTTAAAAACAAAATACGATTCTAATACGAAAATATTCTCTAAACATTATAATTTAACCATCGACATTCATGATACAAAAACAAAAAGCAAGCGCTTGAGTACACAGCCGCGGAACTGGTCAGAATCCCTTTTGTTTTGATCGTTCATTATCAGAATATTAGAGAGGTTATAGATGTCAACTTGACTAATAATTGAGTAGAAGAATGATTGTCAGTATAAAATCTGTCATACAAATTTCATGTATCAGAAGTGTGTTTGACTGTGTTACACTGAACACGGCTACAGAATCCATTGGACTATGAAAGTACTACTTTTGGCGGCTATTATTGGTAAGTGTTTATTTTTGAATTAATGACCAAGGGTGGAAGATAACGGTACAATAGATGACCATTGTTATACTATAGCTAACAAAAAAAAACAACTTCAATAATTAATTTATTTTGAGTATGTTATAGTAATATAGTAGACAATAATGTTTTTTTTTAATGTAACAAGTGTACGATTAATACTATCGCAAACATACTCGCTGATAATGGCGAGATATTGAGTAAATTTTGAATATTTAAAACAAATGAATGGTTGTTAGTAGACGTTTAATAATGCAGTCATTATCGTACGTAATTTTATTGTAATTATTTTGGTTAACAATCGCCGCCCATTGATACTCGTAACATGTAAAGGAACGAGTGCGTTGACGGCCTTTTGGGATTAGGATTCCGAAGAATTAATATGAGGAACAGGGGGGGAGGACGATTGGGCCTGCGAAAATCTTACTCATACGGCAAAAGACAACGCTGTGGTTCTTATACGCGAGTTTTTTATAAAGCCGTGGTACTACTCCGTTAGAGCCAATAGATTCGTACCGCAGTGTGGCTTTCCCAAACTAGCCGAGTTTAATCGTGTTTGGTCCGATAAAAATATATAATATTTAATTACTTGAAGGCCGCTTTGTGATACACTATAGATAATGCTTGAAATCTATCTTTGAGTTTCTACTTGCTGTAGTCAACAAAAACCAATTACATTCGCTTATGTTTTTTCTAATCATCTAATATTAGCAAGCAATATAATTTAGTAAGTGTTATACTTACAAAAAATTATGACTTGCTAACAATTTATTATAACAAATATGATAAGAGAACTATTAAATTAAAATTGAAAAAACCTACACACGTTTTAAAATTAATTAATGGGTTAAATGAACAGACAGGTTACCTGATGGTAAGCAATTGATGACTTTACCGGCCTTTTGGGGATTAGGATTTTGGAAACTTTAGGATTGGGACGGTATGGGGGGACGGGAAGGATTAGGTTTCCAGTAGCAGTGGGTCGTTTTACGCGTCTCCGTGGTCTTGTAGTCCAAAGTCGTAGTATAATATCTCTTCCACAATTCAGTTTTGTTAATTAGTATTTAAAGCTGTATCTATGTATACAATCTATATGTAGCGTGTATCTTAACACTTTATTATTCGAATACTCAAAATTACGAGCAATATTATGTAAAATAATGTTTCAATGTGCCATCTGTAAGAATATTCAATATTCATTCATACAATTTTATTTCAGCCGCTGTTGCTTCAAATCCACTCACTGAAAATGCTAAATGGCCCTGGCAAGTAGGAAAAGAATACGTCTATGACGTTAACACTTACACCTGGACCAAGTTCGAGAATAGCAACAGCAATGGCAACGCTTTCAAGTCTCAGTTAGTGATCCGCGTCCAGGCTCCTGGACATCTTCTGGCTAAATTACAAAACCCCTTACATGCACAGATTCAAGGAGTGCTGAATATCAACGATGTTCCTTCTGATTTGAAATATGAAGATGTTTCGAACATCGACGAGGTTTTCGAAATTTTCGTTGATGGAGGTCGTGTGCTGTCTCTGACAGTACCTTCCTCCCTGTCATCGGCCAACGAGAACATAATCAAAGCTTTGATCAGCGCACTACAAGTCGATTTATCTACATTTGGACATGTGGACAATTTCCCCAACAGCTTCGACAAAAATACCTTCCAAGGTCTCTTCAAGAAATCGGAAGCTGATGTGACAGGCGACTGTGAAATTTTATATTCAGTTTCTCCAATTTCTGTAGAAGTACGTCGTGGCTTGCAATCATTTGCTGAAGACCCCATCGAGATCACTAAGAGTAAGAATTATGATTCGTGCAAGAAACGAATTGGTTTTGCCTTTGGTGTCCCAGATGGAGCTGTCTGGAATGGACTTGCTTATGAAAACGATGAAAGACAGTTCATTAAGCACACTACTGAATCACGTATTCATGCTGGTAAACAAGAAACAATCTACAAATCGGAGACATTGGACACTGTGTTTGTAAATCCTCTCTTATTCGGAAAACAAAAAGCTGAAGTCTATAGTTACGTTGGTCTCATTTTGTCTTCTATAGAGGCAGTAGGTAGCACTGAATGGGCAAGACCTGAAGAAGTTCGTGCAGTTGACTCACTTTTGTCATCAAATGATGTAGACTTATTGTTTAAAGTTAGCCCTGACAACATTGTCAGTGCGCAAAAAGTTCTCCATGAAGTCACTGTAACACTGCAAGGTCCTTCAAATTTGTCCAAAGACAACTTGTTGTCAAAGTTTAATGTTCTGGTTCGTTTCATAATGTTAATGAACTCCGAGCAATTAACTCAAATGACTAACAGTGTTGAGGATTCTAGAACTTCAAATAATGCAGAAAATATTAAAACGTGGACTATCTATCGCGACGCAGTTGCACAGGCAGGTACTGTAGCCGCCTTTAAAGAAATCAAGTCGTGGATTCTTACTCAGAAAATTCAAGGCGAGGAAGCTGCAGAAGTTATCGCTTCTGTACCTGGCAGTCTAAGTATCTCAAACAAAGATATCATGAATGAATTTTTGGAACTTGCTTTGAACCCGCAAATTATGGGGCAAAGGTACCTTAATAGTTCTGCTATATTAGCTGCAACTAAATATATTCGCTCTGGAAATGAGAACCGTTTTGTAGTTGAAAAGGTTATACCTCGTCTCGCTTCAGTACTAAAAGAAGCTATCAACGACGATGATAGCAGTAAGGCCCAGGTTTACATTAGAACTCTTGGCAACTTAGCTCACCCTGATATCTTAAAGGTCTTTGCTCCATACCTTGAAGGTCAAATCGCCGTAACAAAGTACCTCCGTACACAAATGGTGATCAGTCTGAAAACTTTGGCTAACAAAAAGAACGAACGTGTTCGCGCTGCACTCTTTAGCATCTTGAGAAACACTGCTGAACCATACGAAGTCAGGGTTGCTGCCGCTCTGAACATCTTCTTAGCTTTCCCCACTGCAGAGATGATGCAAATTATGGCACATATGACTAACGATGACCCGAGTCTCCAAGTACGTGGTGTTATAGCAACTAGCATATCTTTTGCAGCTAATCTAAAGGATCCACGTTTTGCAGAGCTGTGAGTTGGCTTGATCTTTATTTGCATTCGACAAACGTTAAGAAATTTCGATGAATCTCATGTTGCATTATATATATATATATATATATATGCCAAGTTTTGTCAAAATATTTGCACTTAAGACATAATTTTAACTAGATTTATTTTGATAATTTTAACAATTTAATGTGTATTTTTTTTTTATTTGTTTTAGTGCCAAAACCGCTCAGGCTGTTTTGAGTATCGTATCTAAGGAAAAATTCGGTTACCGAGCATCCTCTGACAGTATTATTGATGACTACACTTCCAGTGATGACCTTGCCCACTTTAGGGAATTGTCTTACATCGGAAGTTCGACTAGTTTCTTTCCGAAGTACCACAGGAGTGCTTTGAGATTAAGAGGCACTGGGTTGACAGAAGAAGACTGGGTAATACCATTATACTGTATAATACAGTAACTACATTATAATAGTAAAATAAGTCACCCGTTATTGGGTAAAGGAACATAAAGTGTTTTCTGGTAGTGAGCTAATCTTCAAAATTTAAAATTTGCGACTTACTTGCTACGGAACCGTATAATTTGAAAACTGTTTTTTTTTTGGTTTTTTCGTCGTACTCAATATGCAGAATTTACTCTTTTTCTTAAAAGCTGGGATACAAATAGATAATTATTAGTATTTCAAGACTGTCCTTTAAACAGTTGGTATCCTTAAATGTTTTGAGACAGAACAATATCAAATCTCGCCTTTTACTTTTTTTCAGATCTCAATGTCGATTTGTAACGAACAAGATTTATTCAACTACTTAAAGATTCCTTTCTCTACGTATCAATATTCTTCAGATCCTTTTGTAAAGTTTCCAGCCAAGAAAGTAGCCGCAGAACTAAACATTACACGTAAACATGACCCCATTGAAGGCGCAATGTTCATTGATAATATGAACCAGCAAAGATTATTCACTTTCGGTCAAAGAGATCTCCATTTTCTCAACTCGGACGCATCCCAAAAAGTTCAAAGACTGTTAACTGGTGACGAGCATCAATATACTAAGGTTATAAATGCCAAACAAGTTGTTGTAACTTTTCCTCTCGCTTCTGGTATGCCTTTTGTGTACACATATAGCGAACCAGTTTTCTTTAACATTAAAGTTACAGCTACCTCTAAATTTACGTTTACAATGTCTATCTTGTTAGATAAGAATATTGAATTCAACTATTTAAGAAATATGGACGGCAGTGTCGGATTCTTAGACACTATTACTGGAGTATATGCTAGCAGCGGTGTTATTAATAAGTTACAATACTTTGTCCCTTTGAAGCTTACAACCAAGCCAAAATTTACTGAAATTACCTTCGAAATTGATCTTCCGGAAAAAGACGGCAATCTTGTTCATATGAGTGTTTTTCCCTACACATCTCTGCAAAAAGTGCATTCTACATTAGCAGTATCTGAAGATGCATCCACTAAAGTCATTAAGCGCTCTGCTCCAGTTCTGACCACTGACATAAATATTGGGGAATCGGCTGGTGTCAGCCTTAATCTGAAGGGCCACTCATACTCTAACGATTTCAAGAAAAATATTTTCGCTTCTGATATTTTGACGAACATCCGTAACCTGCTGTACCAAAATGATATTGCTTGTACGCACTTTGATTTAAAATATATAGCAGAGGAAACTAAAAACAAAAAAATTACAACTACGATATCATTTGGTAAGTTATTTTTCTATAGTCTTCCTTTTATTTTATTCATATCTTCACATACATTTTAACTTAAGTTATTTCAACTTCACAATTACAGAGACCTTATTCGACCACCAAGGAGATGATAAATTGGAGCCTGCGGGCCACCTCACTGGTCTTACAGGCATCAGTGCGAACCGTCGTAAAAAGCTAGCTAATCAGGTTGCATCGAACATTGAATCTGCTAAAGTACAAATTATTGACTTGAGAGCTATATTTGAGGGGGAAGACAAAAAAGAGTTTATATTTACAGCAGCCTTAGCAAACAGTCCATTGGACAATAAAGCCCAAGCTATTTTCTATGCCAAAGGAGCTGAGCAAATTAACGCCGTTTTGAAAGTAGTCAAGCCTAAAGTTGTTCCATTAAACTTTGAGAAGGCTCTAAAGAATGAAATCAAAGTTCAATATGAAGCCGATTTTAAGTACGGAAACTCTGAAAATATTATTTTCAAAGCTGTTGGCCAACGCAGCAAGGAATACACTGAAAGACTATCCAATGATCCTGTAGGAAAGCAATGCTTGCAAGAAACCAGCAACAAGAACTTCTACCAGAAGGATTGTTACAAAATGATCATCAAGGCACACGCACCTGATTACTTCAAGGGCACACTGACATATAAAGAACTCAACCCTGTACTTTTGAACGCTACCTACAAATTATACAATGTTTTCAAACACTTTACTACTTGGGAAGAGGACGAGGATCTATTGAAGGCTACTGATGATGGTAAAGTGGAAATCGAAGCACAAGCGTTCTACTACGACAACTACATTAACTACAAATTCAACACCAAATATGGAGAGTTCCGCATGAACAATGTCCAGGGACGCTCCTACTACCCCTATGCTATGGCTATCTATGCGCCCATTACAAACTGGGAGCGTTCTTACAACTGGTTCACTGGCTACCAACATTTGCGTAAGTATTAGTTTATCATTCATTCATTTTAATGGGTAATGTGGGCATTGTGTTGCTATATTTTGTTTTCTTTCAGCTTTCTGTACTGTGGACGACAACAAAATCTGGACATTTAGCGGACGCAGCTATGACTACATTCTGACGGGATCCTGGCACGTGGCTATGGTAGACGAATCTGGAGAGAGTGGCAATGACCTTGCCATCCTAGTTAAGAGGCCAAATGAAAACAGCACAGAGGTCTATGTTTCTTACCAGTTAGTACTTATTTATTTTCTTTCTATCTTTACCTAACCACCACATTATTTATTATTACTTAATTTCAGTATGATAATTATGTATCTAAAGTAAAACAACGTTTGCCAAGGAGAGGAGATGTTATCGGAGGCCCAATCCTTCTCGCACCCATTGCCAATTTTCAATTTCCGTACATCTTTTTTTATGTAATAGGTCGCCAAACGAGCACATGGATTACCTGATGGTAAGCAATCAGCGCCGCCCATGGACACCCGTAACGGAGGAGTTACGAGTGCATTGCCGACCTTTTAGGGATTAGGGATTTGGAGATTTAGGAACTGGGGAGGGATTATGAAGGGGAAGGATTGGGCCTCCGGTAACCTCACTCACACGGCGAAACACAACACTGTGGTTGTTTCACGCCGGTTTTCTGTGAGGCCGTGGTATCACTCCGGTCGAGCCGACCCATTCGCGCCGAAGCATGGCTCTCCCACACTTATCTTAAGAAAGGTTGACTCCTCACTTGTAGCTCCCTTCATTTTGTGAATGTTCAATTGTGAAGCCGATTGCTTACAATCAGGATTGCCGACCTATCCCAAAAAAATTTTTCTTTGCCTAATATTGATGTATTGAAAGTGAAACAAAACCATTTATGTAAGTCAACTTTGTTTCAGGAATAACAAGGGTATGTTTTTGGAGATTCAAATCACCCCCGAGACAATTAAAGTAAATAGCAACGCAAGAAAGATAGTCGACAGTGGCGTCATCACATACTATGATGATATGTACAAAACACCTTTTGTGGAATACTATCACCTTCCCGCAGAGAACTATCAAGTATACAGCTTGCACAATGGGCTTATTCGTTTAATGTATGATGGCCACCGGCTTGTTATCTTCTCCGGTTCCTACCGCAGCACCACCAGGGGTCTCTGTGGACAGAGCACTTCCCAACCCAGCGACGACTACATGACTCCATACGGTCTGGTGGACCTCCCGGAGCACTACGGAGCTTCCTTCTCTTTGGAAGGTGAAGGCAACGACCCTAAGACTGTAGAGCTGAAGAAGGAAGCTAAATTGAAGGCGTACCAGCCTGTCACCCAGTACACGAACATCTTTCGCTCTGATGATGAATGGAGCCATTTGAAGTCCATTAATGAACTGGCTTAATAAATTGTAAATTAAATTCAGAATGAAATTAAATATTACATGTTGAATGTAATAAATTTGTTATATTTTTTTTTACTAAGGTGTTATCCACTTAAAAAGGACTTGCCATAATCTACAGGAATGACAAGCGAGTTGGAGATATGTTAAAAGATACAGAAAGAAACAAAAGAGTTACCCGATAATGTTAAGCATTTCTACTATCATTCTAGAGATTACTATACAAAAGCCAAATAAGGTCGAATGTTATCAAAAATATCAATACAAACATTTCATTTCTTGCAATCAATAATTACTGAACCTGTATTATTATGTACCTACCTGTATTATGTTTACTTTTGTTTTAACAAATGTTTAAGAACCACCGTACTTACTTTATGAAGTCTTTTGTAAGGATAACGAGAAAAGGAATTACCTGATACTAAGCAATCAACATCGCATTTGGACACCCGCAATTGTAATTGCAACCCCAGAAGAGTTTCTGTAGCCCTACCGGCTCTTTGGGCATTAGGGATTCGGGGATTGGGGATGGGAAGGGAGAGATAATTAGGCCTCCGGTAACTTTATCTGCACTGTTCAACTGACGAACTTTTTCTCTCTCTAGTTATTTAAGGAATGAAAGTAAATTACCTATGTCACTGAATAATTGTAAACAATCTAGATCAATATTGCGCTTCTGGTTAGAGCATTATCAAAGTTTTGAGTTCAACGACATTTAGCTAATGTTTAAAGTTTTTGTCAGGTACATTTAGAAGATATAGTAACACTGCTAAGAGTATGGTTCTCTGATTTGATTCCCTCGTCAGGCAAAATAGTCTTGGATTTTTATTTTTGAAACTCTTTAGCACTCGGAATTAATAATAAGTGTCGTATAAAGCCAGTGAAATAAGTTGCTACCACAAGGCCCACTGGAAAGTCGCAGGGGGAGGCCAGTGTTGAGCAGTGAATGTCTCTGTTGTTTAGGACTGCAAACGAGAACATGGATTACCTGACGGTAAGCAATTGGCTCCACACATGACCACGCACAACAGCGGAGGAGTATGGTGTGCGTTGTTGGCTTTTTAGGAATTAGGGTTTCGGAAATTTAGGGATTGAGAAGGGATGAGGGAAGGGGAAGGTTTGGGCCTCCGGTTACCTTATTCATATTCACGGAGAAACACAACGCTGTGGTTGTTGTACGCCTGTTTTCTGTCATGCTGTAGCATCATCGCTCCGGTCGAGCCTTGGCCTGGCCTTGGCCTGGCCAGACCTTTTCGTGCCGAAGTTTGGGTCTCCAACACTTAAATGATTTATATTATTATGTTGTATGTAAGTGATAGTAGAAGGATGAAACGCATGTTACAAAAAAACCATGAGTATAAATGTGGATGGATGGAGAGGGAGACCAAAGAAAATATGGATGGATTTTGTGAGAAATGATATGGAAGACAGAGGAGTTAGTGATAGCGTGACGGGTGACAGGATAGAATGGAAGAAAAAAACATATTGCGCCGACCCAAATAAAACGGGACAAAGGCAGGAAGATGATGATGTAAGTGATAGTAGACTAGATGATGATGATGATGATGATGATGATTGTGAATTCACAATTCATTCCAGCATATGCCTAAAACCTACATCTACATACTTCTACCTACTAAACATATTAAACAAAATGAATTTTTAACTCCCTCATTTTGACATTTTTGAGATATTGACGTTTCAAGTTGAAAAGTTTTTGCTCATTGATATTTGAGTTTGTGATTTTGTTGATTTGGAAATCGATTCAAGTGGATTGGATTCATTTAAGTTAGACAAATTAACGTATTATTATTCCAATAGAGTATTTTTTACTAATGAAAAATGAAAATGAAAATATGGACTTTAAATATTAATTTGCCAAATTCAGCTCCTTTTCGACCAAATTGTGGATTGGTTCCTTTTTGCGTAAATAGGTCCAATTAAGACTCAAATAAACGTTTTAAGTTTGTCTGTCAACATGACATATGTATAAACTTAATTCATTATTGGTACAAATAAAGTTTATACCTATGTAGGTATATGTACCAATAATGTATATACCAATTATACATTATCTGTCGCCTGCCAAATGCGGACGAAAACTTTATCTTAATCACAAGTATGTAAGCACTTGATGTTCTTAACGAAAATAACAATGATTTAAGTAAAGTATTTAGGTATTTATTAAACTTGATTCGATTATCTCCCAAATGTTCCAAATGTTTGGTTTACTTTATGTTACAAAAAACCAACCGACGGATTACCTGATGGTAAGCCATTCTCGCCGCCCATGGGCACTCGTAATATCAAAGAAGTTACTAAAAGTACGTTGCCGGCCAGTTGTTGGTTATTTGGGATTTAAAGATAGTGGAGTTGTCGATTGAGGAATGGGGGAGGGGGAGGATTGGGCCTCCGGTAAACAGACAATCACGGCGAGACATAACGTGCGTGTTTCACGCCGGTATTTTGAGAGGCCGTAGGATCACTCCTGTCCAGCCGGCCTATTCGTGCCGAAGCGTGACTCGCCCATACTTACGTTTGTATGGGACAAGGAGCAGGATTACCTGAATGATGGTCAGTAATCAGGGCCAACGATGGACCCAACACCAGAATTATGCGTTGCCGACCTTTAAGAGATTAAGGATTCAGGGATTTATTGTTTAGGGCGGATTGAGGGAGGGTAAAGGTTGGGCCTTCGGTAACCTTACTTACAAGTCGAAGCAGGACTCTTGTTTTCTTTAAGGCTATGGTATAACTCCGATTAGGCAACACTTGGCTATATCTAAAATCCTACACTTGTAAGTAATGAAAAATGTACACATTTAGGTATTATAATGAGTATAATAAATGTTTAAAAAAGATAACGTCTATTTTTTTCAAATTAGCAGATATTAGAAAAACAAGTCATTATTGATTAAATTATCAAAATTTTTTGTGTTGAGATAAAATAGGCTCGTTGGCCGAGAGGTTACATGTTGGGCTGCCAAGCAAGAGGTCGGGGGAAAAATTATTAGGATTTTAGGATGTTATTTAGTTTTTTTGGTACCGCGTTTTCTTTTAAGATGTCTGATTGAAAGTTGAAAACATAAATACCTAAATAAACATTACACAAAAATGGAAATATATAGTGTAGCAAGGGGTCCATCTTAGTATATGCTGTGTTAATGCACAGCACTGGTTTTCAGATGGCTTTGCATTTTATAGAGAGATAGAGATACAGGACAAAATGGGCCTTTCATGAAATGTATGAAAATAGCTAGTTTTACTATTTTGTATTGTAGCTGCCCTGAGATTTACTAAATTTATCAACAATAACGACTTCCTCACTTCGTTCAACTAAGAATATCTCAACTAGTTCTCTCAGAATATCCCTCCCGCCCAGGGTAGGGCGGGAGGGAGTGTCAGACTCTTACTGACTAAAAACCTCCCTGTTCCTTCTCCTGCTCTGGGCCGAGGTCGCGGTGCCTCATTGCGCTTACCCCGCAACCCTGGCTAAACATCAGCCCTATAGGGCCCCGTCTGTGGTAGTCTTTTTTTTTTTATGTAATAGGTCGGCAAACGAGCAGACGGATTACCTGATGGTAAGCAATCAGCGCCGCCCATGGACACTCGCAACGGCGGAGTTACGAGTGCGTTGCCGTACTTTTAGGGATTAGGGATTTGGAGATTTAGGGATTGAGGAGGGATTGGGGAAGGGGAAGGATTGGGCCTCCGGTAACCTCACTCACACGGCGAAACACAACGCAGTGGTTATTTTACGCCGGTTTTCTGTGAGGCCGTGGTATCACTCCGGTCGAGCCGACCCATTCGTGCCGAAGCATGGCTCTCCCACACTTAGACTATTGGCTCTATGAGGCGCACGCGGAACGCTAAGCGCCGTACGCTCGGGCCTGGTTCTGGTCGGGCGGCAAGCTGCCTTTACTCGCCGACCACAGACCGGGCGCGGGAGGGCGCCGCTGCCGATGCACGTTGCGAAGTTGAGATTATAAACGTGAATGTGGCGATTGTTGTTAGGCTCGCACGCATAAATTACTTGACCAATCATATCATAGCATAGCTACTATTTATTGAAACATAAAAATTTATTTACATTTTTTCTCTAGCAGCAAGTGAAAGCTCAGCTATGTATTTAATAAAAAAAGAAACATAATTACAAAAATACTTACTCCTAGCAGCGGGTGAAATCGCAAATAGTAACTAGTTTTGAAATAAATATATCTATTGAAACAGTATAAAACTGCCGAGCAGAGTGTCTATGTAAAAACTCGCACTTCGCACTCGGGTCTTGAGTTCGAATCCCGGGTCGATCAAAGTGGAGTAAATACTATATCAGTACTACGATTATGGCAATAGTTGTGAAAGTCAAAGTTTAAACAAAACAAAAAAAGAGAGAGACAAATTTTTAAACAAAAATTTTGATAAGAGAATGCCTACTTACGTTTATCAGTAATTTAGTAATAAAAAAAAATATATTTCTAGTTTTGATTATGCCTATTTTTCGAGAACATTCTTTTTCTAATTAGGTGGTAAATAAGAGTGCTGTGGTCAACTGTTCGGAAGACCTTTAAATTTGAAAGAGTGTTTTTCTTAAAAAGCCGGCAACTAACTTGTGACTTGTCTGGCGCTACAAATATCCACGGCCAGTGCTGATCGCTTACCATCAGGTAGCTCGATGGCAAACGAATCCTAAAAAAACAGGTTCAAGAGGCAGAAACAAAAGCTAAAAACTATATAGCAATAAAAAATAACCACTTATTATACTGATAGGCTATCCACACGAAAGAAAACTGAATCATTAAAATTGGTTCATAAATGACGAAGTTATCCAGGAACATACAAAAAACCCATAAGTGAATTGAATGAATAAGGATTCCTAATCATTTTTTATCCTTTTGTATAAAGGAGAAAATAATGTACATTATATGTGATAAAATAAATGTAGGTACTGTGTTCAGCAATAAAGATATTTGAATTTGATTTTTTTTTCTGGAAGTCGGTCAAAAAGTATGAAATATAATTCTAAGTAGTAAATAATTATAGAGTAGTAGAGTTTATGTTAAAACGAACATGATAGTTATGTCATAAGATCTATAAATAAAATAGTAGGTACTTCTATAATGAATACATAGTCTTTTTGTGATGAGATATTCATCAAATAATTTCTCCCACCCAGGTGAGGCGATATGTAAGAGTGCCTGACTCTTACTGACTAAAAACTCTTATGTACCTTCTCCTGCTCTAGGCCGAGGATCGTAGTGCCTTACTTGACCTGAATGGGCCAAAAGAGTATCAAACTCTGACTAAAACCATTCCTTCTCTTATTCCGAACCGGACAGATATATTCCTACTAGTTATAGTATTATTGTTCCTGCACCTGTAGAATAGAAACTGATCTTGGATTTCGCCAACACGCCTTTGTTCTATATATATATATATATATTTTTAATGTAATTGGTCGGCAAACGAGCAGTCGGATAACCTGATGGTAAGCAATCAGCGCCGCCCATGGACACCCGCAACGGAGGAGTTACGAGTGCGTTGCCGACCTTTTAGGTATTGGGGGCGGGGAAGGATTGGGCCTCCGGTAACCTCACTCACACGGCGAAACACAACGCTGTAGTTGTTTCACGCCGGTCTTCTGTGAGGCCGTGGTATCATCACTCCGGTCGAGCCGACCCATTCGTGCCGAAGCATGGCTCTCCCACACTTAAACAATATATAGTTCCATCGTAGTTTATATAATTGAGTGCAAATGGTGATATTATTATTAAAACTTGACCCCACTGGGTGATTATCTACACAATTAAACAAAAATCAACGACATCATTATCTTCAACACGAAGACATTTCTGTTTATTGAAACGCTTATACTGATTTCTTAAATTACACCATATCACTGCTTGTTAGTAATTCCGTAAAATTATTGATGAAAAGTTATGAATATGCTTAACAATCAGAGATAAATATTTAACAATAAGAGAATATTGAACACACAGAAAGCCAGCGTAAAGCAACTACTTGTGTTTCCCCATGCGAGAGAGTTTCAATTCCTCCCCTACAACTATCTATCCATCCCAAAGAATCCTTAAATCTCTGCAACTCTTAACCCTAATGGTCGGAAACTCACTCGTGACTCCTTCGTTGTTGCGGGTGTCCGTGGGCGGTGCTGATTGCTTGCCATCGAGTGATCCACCTGTTTGTTGGTCATGCTATTCCATTAAAATATAATATTAAGGTTTTTCAGAGAATCACCTTTGTCGCTTTTTCAGAATAAAGATAAAATTCTTTACAGACAAACAAAAACTTGAAACTAAAAGGGTTGAATTACACAAAATATCCCTGTTTTGCACAACTATTTTTGATTGAATCGCACGTTATCAATTTTTTTGCGGGGTCAGGGGTTACCTAAAAGGTAATGATAGCCAGTATAAAACCGGGGATACGGGTCCCTGGTATCAGAAGTGTGCTCGACTGTGCTACACTGAACACGACACAGAAACTCTCGGACTATGAAACTACTAGTGTTGACGGCGATTGTCGGTGAGTGTTAATTTATTAAGCTAATATTTAGAAAATTTAATTATTTTAATTGTGGTTTCCTACTGTGTAGAAATAATACTATGTATAAACAAGATTCGTGTAAAAATCAGACATAGTTATATAATAATCACTCCGTCAGAATGATCTTTTTGTATATTAGTTGGGCCCTAATTTCTGCTAAAGTATGTTAGATCAACTCGAAAACTGAATGATTATAATATAAATATATTTTATAACTAAGAAAAGTTCTTAATTTTTATTTTGTTTATTTAATATTGATGCTTTTGTGTTGGACTCAAAAGATTTCACTCAAACTCAAATTTATGTTGAAAATGAACCACTTGGTAGGTTCCTAAATAATTTTTAAATTTTCGTTTTTTTAATTGACTATAAATTTACAACTTGCCAGTGTTATGAAACATATAGAAATTTCTATAACATTTTTTTTTTACAGTGAAAAACATGGAATACCTAAAAAATTTGAACAGTAAAAATTATACAATTTAGTTTATTTAGTATTTCGATTACTAATTATTTTCTCCTGTGTCGTGAGTACGTTTACAATTTCACATAAGTACATTTACACCCGGAACAACAATATGTGATCCATTAATTTATCCGTCACACCGTCAACTGTAAAGTCATATTTCTGTATGATTTTAGGTGTATTATATTTTTCGCTACTTCTATTATTTATATATGAATAATTAAATCTACTATTATACTAACTAAACTAATTATTTACGCTACTTCTAGTAGCGTAAAATATACAATGGTGCTCATAAAATTAAGAAAATTAAAATTAGCAAACTCAATAAAAAGAAAAATATACCTAACCATGTCCCTTTTGTATTTTAGTATGATGCGACATACATTTAGGCATAGTACTAACGGGATTAAGAGTCAATACTAAATAACCTACTATTTACTTGAAAAATAATAAAGGACAAATCTTATATTGCTCGAGAGTTGTTCTAGTAGATCCTTAGATTTTGAAAATGTATAAAAATAAGACGGTAATAAAGTTAAAAAATTGTAATTAAATACATTTTATTCATAGTACCTAACTATATTGTAGCGAGGCATTGATATTATTTAAAAAGTTGACCTTTTTTAAAAAAAATAGATCGGCAATATTTTAGAAAACATTTCCACAGCTCGCTCACGTCACCACACCACCGATTTAAAATATTTTTCTTAAGTTCGCACCAAAGATACCTTATAGAATGTGCATTAATCACCAGGCTTGTTTAAAGCAGATTGATATTAACATTAAGCATTGGTATAAAATTTTAAATTATGTGCAAACATTTTTGCTGTCGTTTTGCATTTTTTTTATGTGATGACCATATATGAGCAAATGAATTACCTGATGTTGAGCAATCGGTGCCGCCCATGGACACATGCAACACTAGACGAGCTACGAGTTCGTTACCGTCCTTTTGGGATTGGGGTGTCGGAAATTTAGGGCTTGGGGGAGGGGACGAAAGGATTGAGCGTCACTCATGCGGCAAAACACATCGCTGTGATCGTTTCACGCCGGTTTACTGTAATGCCGTGATGTTACTCCGATCAAACTGACCCATTCATGCCAAAGCATGGCTCTCCCACTTTTAAACGATGCAATTCGTAGTGATTCAATTCAACAATAACAAATATTGTTTGACATTCTAATGTTTCTATTTACGAATCCGGAACTAGAAAGAACCCTTGTAGGGTTTGCCAAATTACAACAACAGAACCTATACTTAGGGGTAGTAGAAGTTTTCCAAAACTATAGAAACATACTTTTGAAACTTGATACCTAAGTACCTAGATTTACCGCTTTAGGACTTTGACATAAAAATGGAAAGAAACACTTAGGCTCCTTTGTTTGGGGAACCCCTTTTTATGTTGTATAAATTGGTGTGACGAAATGAAACATTTTTTCATTTTCATTTTCAAATTGCCCGCAATATTTATTTATCAACTGACATTCAAAAACATTTTTTTCGTCTAACCCATTTTTGTGCATTTATTTAAACATATTATTTGTCGTATTCAAAATGAAATCCACTGAAAATACTTTTAAAGGCATTTGTATAATTTTTAAATTATAAAAATGTTTTCGTTTCTGTGAAATCAAATATAATATCTATTATATTTTTCATAAACGACACCTACAAATAAACTTAAGTGGGAACTCATTGTTTGTTTTTTACATACATATGTATAAAAAATAAAATTCTGATGGAACTCATTGTTTGTTTTTTACATACATATGTATAAAAAATAAAATTCTGATCAAACTTATGCAAACAAAGTTGTGGGAAGAAGCAAGTCCCGAAAATTATTAAACAAAGGCATAAACTACTTCCAGTCCAATACAGTCGTTAAATTGTGAACACTAGTGATAACCCGCAGTAAACAAAGATATTTTGTTTAATAGTAGATTAAAAAATAATAACAGTAAATAAATATTTTGTTACAGCCGTCGTCGCTTCAAATCCCATAGGAAATGAAAAATGGCCCTGGCAAGTAGGAAAAGAATACGTCTATGATGTTAACACTTACACCTGGACCAAGTTCGAGAATAGCAACAGCAATGGCAACGCTTTCAAGTCTCAATTAGTGATCCGCGTCCAGGCTCCTGGACATCTTCTGGCCAAATTACTAAACCCATCATATGCACAGATTCAAGGAGTGCTGGATATCAACGATGTTCCTTCTGACTTGAAATACGAAACTGTTCCGAAACTCGAAGAAGTTTTCGAAATTTTCGTTGATGGAGGTCGTGTACTATCTCTGAAAGTATCTTCCTCCCTCTCATCAGCCGATAAGAACATACTCAAAGCTTTGATCAGCGCCCTCCAAGTCGATTTATCTACATTTGGACATGTGGACAATTTCCCCAACAGCTTCGACCAAAATACCTTCCAAGGCCTATTCAAAAAATCGGAAGCTGATGTCACAGGCGAATGTGAAACTTTATACGCCATTTCTCCAGTTTCTGTGGAAGTACGTCGTAACTTGCAATCGTTTGCTGAAGACCCCATCGAAATCACTAAGAGCAAGAACTACGACTCTTGCAAAGTACGTGTCGGTTTGGGCTTTGGTGTCCCAGAGGGATCTGTTTGGAATGGACTTGCTTATGAAAACGATGAAAGACAGCTGATCAAGCACACTTCTGAATCACGTATTCATGCTGGTAAACAGGGAACAATCTACAAATCGGAGACATTGGACACTGTATTTGTAAATCCTCTTTTGTTCGGAAAACAAAAAGCTGAGGTCTACAGTTACGTAAATCTTGTTTTGTCTTCTGTAGAGGCAGTAGGCAACACTGAATGGGTGAAACCGGAGGAGGTTCGTGCAGTTAACTCGCTTTTGTCCTCTGATGGTGCTGAGTTATTCTTTAAAGTTAGCCCCGAAAACGTTGTCAATGCCCAAAAAGTTCTCCAGGAAATCACTCCACTACTTGAAAACCCTAGCAATCTGCCCAAAACTGAATTTTTGTCAAAGTTCAATGTTCTGGTTCGTTTTATCATGTTTATGGACTCCGAACAATTAACTCAAATGACTGACAGCGTTGAAGTCGCAAGGACTTCGGATAATGCAGCAAAGAAAAAAATGTGGGCAATCTATCGTGATGCAGTTGCCCAGGCGGGAACTGTAGCTGCCTTCAAAGAAATCAAATCGTGGATTCTGGCCAAAAAAATTCAAGGCGAAGAAGCTGCTGAAGTTATTGCATCTGTTCCTAGCAGTCTTGATTTCTCTGACAAACAAATCGCAAATGAATTTTTCGAATTAGCTTTTAACCCTGAAGTTGTAGAACAAAAGTTCTTAAACACTTCAGCTTTATTGGCCGCTACTAAATTCCTTCGCTTTGGAAATGAGAACCAGTTTGTAGTTGAAAAAGTTATTCCTCGTCTTGCTGCAGAACTAAAGAAAGCTATCGAAAACGATGAAAGTGGCAAAGCTCAGGTTTACATTAGAAGTCTAGGCAACTTAGCTTACCCTGATATCTTAAAGGTATTTGCCCCCTACTTTGAAGGTCAAGTCACTGTTACCAAGTACCTGCGTACACAAATGGTAATCAGCCTTAAAACTTTGGCTAACAAAAAGAATGAACAAGTTCGCGCTGTACTCTTCAGTATCTTGAGAAACACTGCTGAACCATACGAAGTCAGGGTTGCTGCCGCTCTGAACATCTTTTTAGCTTTCCCCACTGCAGAGATGATGCAAATTATGGCACATATGACTAACGATGACCCGAGTCTCCAAGTTCGTGGTGTAATAGCAACCAGCATTTCTTTTGCGGCTAATTTGAAGGACCCACGTTTCGCACAACTGTAAGTAATCTATTAAGAAATGTAATATAAAATAAACAATAATTTTAAGTGTCGTAATTTGAAATAAAATATGGTAAATCGAAGTCATTTCAACAATATTGCCATAAATGAAATTATTTTACTTATTTCAGGGCCAAGACCGCTCAAGCTGTTTCAAATATCGTATCTAAGGAGAAATTTGGATACCGTGCTTCTGCCGACAGTATCATTGATGACTACACTTCCAATGATGACCTAGCTCACTTCAGGGAATTGTCATACATCGGCAGTGGCGACAGTGCCGTACCTAAGTACCACAGGACAGCGCTAAGATTAAGAGGCAATGGATTGACTGAAGAGGACTGGGTAATTTAATTTTTTTTTTTACTTATTTGTATCGGTCTATCTACAACTAGTTGTTTTATTTTAATTTGGCCAATAGCATAGGTGTCAAAAGATACACACACAGTACAGTCCAGTCCAGTCACGTCGTAGATAATAAAATTTTAACATATTATTCTTTTTCAGATGACATGGTCCGTTTCTGATGTGCAAAATCTAATTTACTCCGTGCTGGATCTTATAGTCGCCGATCAATATCAACAGGCAGACTTAAAATTCTCGCCCGAGAAAGTAGCCAAAGAATTAAACATTAAACGTGAACATGACCCCGTTGAGGGAGCATTCTTCATTGACAACTTGAACCAGCAAAGACTTTTCACTTTCGGTCAAAACGACCTCCGCAGTCTTGTCAAGGAATACTTTGGAACAGTCAATTCACTATTCTCTGGAAATGTGAACCAATTTACAAAGGTGGTAATTGCCAAACAAGTTGTGATCACCTTCCCTCTCGCTGCTGGTTTTCCATTTGTTTACGTATACAGTGAACCCACTTTGTTCGACATTGAGAGTGTAGGCTCAAGAGCCAATACTGGTCCATTCAAATTTGATGTTAAATTCACTTACTCAAGAAATTTGGATGGCAGTGTAGGTTTCTTAGACAGCTTCAGCGGAGTTTATGCCAGCAGTGGAGTTATTAACAAATTACAATTCTTTATTCCCGCAAAACTCAGTGTCACCCCGACGCTTTTCGCAAATATTGATCTTAAATTTGATGTTGAACTGCCTGAAAAAGACGCCAGCCTTATTCACATGAGTGTATTTCCTTACACATCTCTGCAAAAATTGTATTCCGCATTAGCAGTATCTGAAGATCCATCCACGAAAATCATTGAGCGTTCTGCTCCAGTTCTGACCACTGACATAAATATTGGGGAATCTGCTGGTGTCAGCCTTAATCTGAAGGGTCACTCATACTCTAACGATTTCAAGAAAAACATTTTCGCATCTGACATCTTGACAAACGTTCGCAACTTGCTGTACCAGAATGACATCGCTTGTACTCACTTTGACTTGAAATACGTCGCTAAGGACACTAAAAACAAAAAAGTTGCTACCACTATACTGTTTGGTAAGTGTTCATAATTATTTTCTTCGTTTATTCAAAACGTTCCGTTACAAAATGTCGTGTCAGATAATTGCATAATCTGTAATAATTTATATTGCAGAGACATTATTCGAACACAAAGGAGATGAAGAATTAAAACCCGCTGGCTACCTCACTGATCTCATAGGCAACAGTGTAAATCGTCGCAAAAAGCTGGCTGATCAAGCTGCGTCGGGAATCGAATATGCTAAAGTTCGCATTGCTGATTTCAGTGTTGTGTTTGACGGCTCAGACAAGAAAGAGTTTGTATTTACTTCAGCCTTAGCTACCAATCCGTTAGACAACAAAGTCCAAGCTGTTATATATGCAAATGGTTGCGTGCCAATTAACGCAGTAATCACGATCATCAAGCCTAAAACTGTTCCATTAAACTTCGAGAAGGCTCTAAAGAATGAAATTAAGGTAGAATATGAAATTGATTTCAAATACGGAAGCTCTGAAAACATCCTTTTCAAAGGTGTTGGTCAACGCAGCAAGGAATACACTGAAAGATTATCCAATGATCCTGTAGGAAAGCAATGCTTGCAAGAGACCAGCAACAAGAACTTCTACCAGAAGGATTGCTACAAAATGATCATCAAGGCACACGCACCTGATTACTTTAAGGGTACAGTGACATATAAAGAACTTAACCCTGTACTTCTGAACGCGACCTACAAAATATACAATGTTTTCAAACATTTTACGACTTGGGAAGAGGACGAAGATCTATTGAAGGCTACTGATGATGGTAAAGTGGAAATCGAAGCACAAGCGTTCTACTACGACAACTACATTAACTACAAATTCAACACCAAATATGGAGAGTTTCGCATGAACAATGTCCAGGGACGTTCCTACTACCCCTATGCTATGGCTATCTACGAGCCCATAACCCATTGGGAGCGTTCTTACAACTGGTTCACAGGCTACCAACATTTGCGTAAGTATATGTCAATAATTAATTGGATTAGACATGATAGAGTTACCCTGCACATCATTGATATGACAGCTAGTTTTATAAATGTACATAATACCACTTAAGTGTGTCTTATTTGCGTGCAACCTCTTTGTGCAAAAACCCGCACTTCATTTCTATCTATGTGTGTAGTGTATCACATACGACTAGTGAAGGCACTATTATCTGAACTACGCAAACACTACAGCTGTTATACGGTTATTATACTTATATTGTTTTATTTTTCAACAGCTTTCTGTACTGTGGACGACCACAAGATCCGGACATTCAGTGGCCGCAGCTATGACTACAGGCTGACTGAATCCTGGCACGTTGCTATGGTGGACGAATCAGGAGAGAATGGCAACAAAATAGTCATCCTAGTTAAGAGATCTGGTGGTAGCGACGAGGTCTACGTATCTTACACGTTAGTATATTCTTGTAATATAAAAAGTGTAACGTTAACTATCCGCCTATTTCATTAGAAGAAGCATTTTACTTAATCTTTTCTTTTACATTGCAGTACTAAATCGGGCTACTACGTGGAGATTCAAATTAATTCCAAGTCATACGAAGTTACCAGTAACGCTAAGCAGGTTGCCGAAGAAGCGGTCACCACATACTTTGACGAAATATTCAAGGTTCCACTCGTGGAGTACTACTACGTTATCGAAGACGACTATCAAGTGTACAGCTTGAACAATGGAGCCATTCGTTTCATTTACGACGACAACCGCCTTGTCATCTTCTCTGACGACCACCGCAGCACCACCAGGGGTCTCTGTGGACAGAGCACTTCCCAACCCAGCGACGACTACATGACTCCTTACGGTCTGGTGGACCTTCCCGAGCACTACGGAGCCTCCTTCTCTTTGGAAGGTGAAGGCAGCGACCCTAAGACTGTAGAGCTGAAGAAGGAAGCTAAGCTGAAGGCGTACCAGCCTGTCACCCAGTACACGAACATCCTCCGCTCTGATGATGCCTGGAGCAAGATCAAGAACGAATCCATTAAAGAATTGTAAATTGACCTGCAATAATAACGAACCTAAAAGCATGTCGTACGGACCATGACGGATGAAAATATATTGTAACATATTAGTTTAGATGCACAACTTTTAGCTCAGAAGTATTGTAATTAATCTACAGGAACTGATTGTATATAATGTAAATTTTTACATATATTTGTAATTTATTTATTATAGTGAAACTTCCTGAATAATAGATAACATGCAAATTTATATTCTGCTTTTATTTTTTTATTCCTGTTGACATGAACATGATAATGCTCACCCCTTTTAAATCTTTTACTAGTAAATGACTCTATGTGACCATTCATCATATCAGACACAAGACGTCAACCCTGAATATAATTTAAAACTCAAACTCTAATTGTTTATTTGCATGTGAAGGTAATATAGGTACAAGGGTCTAAGATGAAAATAACAGTCACATACCTACATGCCTAAACAAAATAGAAAAATAGAAATTAGTTAGGCACCCATGGAAAGCAGGGACATGCTTGGATGACTGAAGAATTGCCACCGCTTTGATAACTATCCTTATATATACATATACAATAAGCACCCTAAAACATACCTTTAACTTCACAAATATAATATCCAGTTATTGCATCAATGTGCAATCAGTTGGAGTTGTATCATTAGAAACCGAATTTTATTTTCGGTATATCACTATGGCGTCATTGTCAACACATCTTAAAAGTTTTTGAGTAGGTACTGATTGATGAATATTGCGATGCTAAATTAGAGTTTATTGTTTAATTAAATTGTCAATTATTTAATGTTATTTAAACACTTATATCTTGATTTTTTTTCAGTAATAATTTGTGTTATTTCAAGTAGTGTTAACTTATTACGAGTTTATTTTCGATAAAATAATAATTTGATTGAAAATTGGACTTTAACACAACACATGTTTGAAAAACTATCAATAAAATGACCGGCAAAAATGAATTCTATTACACAGAGCACGTGTAGAAATGTTATACGGAGATAGTAAAGTGACGTTCTATGACCAGATAAACTTGAAAACATTTACTTTGTACACAAATACTGTAAACACGTGGAAAATAGTACTTTAAAGCTGTTCCCGTGTCTTTGCTTAATGCTCTAATTGAGGGTTATTACATTTTTCTTGAATTTGATCCGTTTAACATTTTTTTGCAGTGTGACTAGACTAAGGAAATAGTCACAATAAAAATCTGATAAACCACTTGGGACGAAGCTGCGGTACATTGCTGCTCTTTCGTAATTCTCACCCGAAGACGAAATCACAGGGTTCTTTTTTACCCCGCATTAGGATTTCCTTCTGTGTCGCTGGTGTTTTTTCATACTTACAAATTCATACACACAAGCCAATCAGAACCGAAACAACAATTTGTGGATCCTACGAAGTGATGTTCCGTGCGGGAATCAAAACCCGGGACACGTTGTACAGTAGCCACTTGCCCAGCTAGTACGCCAACCGTGTAGTCAACGGGTTTACGAGCTAGTAAACAGTTGTCATAGTTCTGATGTTCTTTAATTTACGATTTATAACTCACTAAAGTCCCGGCTTTGGGTGGCTTGTCTATGTGAAATTGTATGTTTGTAAACCCACGACACAGGAGAAAATCCAAGTTTAAGTAACGTTGTTTGAAAAAAACATCTTTATTTATGTGTTAGGAGAGTTAGGTACATAATGGCAAGCAATCAGCGCCGCCCATGCACACCAGTGGAGTTACGAGTGCGCCTATACGACCTTTTAAGGATAAAGGTTTCGGATATGTAAGGATTGGGAAGGGATGGGGGGAAGGATTGGGCTTACTGTAACCTGACTCATACGGCGAAACACAACGCTGTAGTTGTTTCATGCCGGTTTTCTGTGAGGCCGTGGTACCACTCCAGTCCAGCCGACCCATTCCTGTCGACCCCTTCGTGCCGAAGCTTGGCTCTCCCACATAACCTTCGATCGAGCCGGCCCATTTGTGCCGAAGTATGCCGCTCGCACACATAATTTACTCCTTTTATCTAAATACTATTTAATTAAATTCTTTACCAACTGATATGCGTAATGCCATAACCAAAAAAAAAACATAAAATATAAATTAAGAACACATTTCTTCGCAACTATGTAACAGAACACTACGGAGTACATTTTAGGTACACAATGCGGAGTATTTTCTAAGTACCCACTACTTGGAAGGTATACGGCAGTGTGTTGATTGATTGATTGTTTTGTTATAAAATTGTGTAGGTAATGTTAAGTTTATGTATAGTTATTGTGTGAGACGAATAGAATAGTATAGTATCACACACAAATCCGAGAGGTTTAAGTGTTGCTGAACCAGTTAAAACAAAATAAACGACAAAAAAAAATTTGAATCATCATTTTTTATCATTATCTTTCCTTGTCTGGGCTTTCAAAATGCGCTTAGCTTTTTGAGTAAAAATATAAATAGGTAGTGTGAGGTTATTACCTCACTTAAACCTCACCAGTGGCCACCATCAGCGCCCATAAGGGTCGAGGGATCCTCTGGAACTTCACAGTTCGGACTTCGTAGAGTCATAGAAATTAAACTCAAACAACATACAAATAGATAAACATATTAATATACATATTAGCATAATATAAAGTTGTTATAGATAAGCGGCTTCAGTTCCGATCTGGGCGCGTGTTGGAGTTCGTTACCCTACTGTTGTAAATAGCAACATTGTATCAATACCAAATTCACTTTCATTATAAACTTTCCTGTTTATGTGCCTTTTAACCTTTTATTAATATATAAAATTTATTGAGAGCATGTAGGTATGTCACCGGTCAATCTGGATGGAAGTTAATTTCTTCGCTCTCTTTCGTTGCTCTACATTAGGATTTTCTCCTGTATCGAATTTCACATACACATCACGCCCAGACCCGGAACAACAATTTGTAGATCACACAAGGAGTTGTTCCGTGCGGGAATCGAGCCCGCGACACGATGCTCCGCAGCTAGTTGCCCAGCCACCGCGCCAACCGTGCTGTCATTGGTGGCAAGAAGCTGATTTATGATTGTTGATGATGCATCTGAGACCAGGTGCAGAAAATGCGAAGCATGACTCTTTCACGTTTAGCATGACTTTCCCACAATTAAATTGAAAACATGATATGGAAAAAGGTTCCAATAGCTATGACCGACGCAGGAATCAAACTTGAGACGCTTGAAGTCTCAGTTGCGTAATATTGGCCTAAATAGCAATCTCAAAACCAACTGAACCGGATTTAATAATTGCAATTCATGTTTTGTAAGCCGAATTTCAGATTAAAGGTCGCCGAGATAAGAATGTTTTTCAAAGAAACTAGTTGAAGAAAAAATATATTTAGGTACTTTATACAAAATGTATCTTATTTAAGTATACATGTGTATTAAGATAGTGGCCTTTAAGATTTTTGAATACTAAACATAATAAGTATGCAAATCAATAATTTCTGGATCGATCTCTGTTTTGACTGAAACTTTTTCAACTTCATGTTATTTTTAACTATTTTATGTTTCTCATGTTATTTTTTTTATGTTTAAATAAAAAATATTTTGTTGATAGTTGGAATTTATGTAGGTACTAGCTACTACCGCGGTTTCACCCGCTGCTCGGCTACATTAAATAGAGCGTTTTATAGCCTATAGCACTCAGGAACATTGTAGCATCTATCAGTGCAAGATTTTGGAAATCCGACCAGTGGTTCCATACATTACCCCCCTACATACAAACTTACAAATATACAAATTTTACCTCTTTATAATATTAGTATAGATATGTTTTGTTATACCCGTGTTTAATGCAAATTAGTGCATACTATAGAATGTATTACAAAAATATATATGTTTTTGCCTGCTACGCCGATGCAAAATAATATAAATTTTCTTTCTTTCTTCAAACCAATTTGCAACCAAAGTTTAAATGAGCGTCCTTCTTCAAATGAAAACATTGCAAAGGTTCAATAATATTTACTCAAAAGTACGTAGGTACTTATTACTAACAAAGTTTGCAAAATGACACAATGTAACGTAAACGAATAAATTAATCAATAATCATTCCCAAACTCTTGATTTTGTACATACATACATAAAGAAGAAAATGTCCGGTGTGTGTTAAACTTATTCTACTTGATATATAGAATATATAATATTATAACATGAACCTACATAATTATGCATTTCACGTAGACATATACCTAACTACAATGAATTAGTATCAAGAGTACAAATAAACACAACAGTAATTTCACCTATATTCTTAAAGATTGTTTATTGCGTTTACAGTCTCTGTGACTTAATGAGAATTGAGTTTTACTGACTAAAAACCACCCCGTTCCTTCTCCTGCATCTGCAACCCCGGTTGATGTTGGTGTCCACCATGTCACCATGTCAACCATGCCAGAATTATGAATATGAACCACTAGCATGGCTTATTGAAACAGTTACAAACAAAATGTACTACAACATGTTTTTATGAAATAAACTTATTATCATCATATATTTAATAAAATTACTCTAAAATTACATTTTTAAATATTACTATAAAATAAAATAAAATAATATTTAAAAATATAAAAGTAGGTGCCAGCCGGCAGCGGGAGCAAGGTCCAAGCTACCGGCAGTTAGGGCTCCAAAGACAGGAACCTCCTCACAATACGTGCCGTAAATAAACTTATTATTATTATTATATTATAGTTTCTTAAATAAGCCCTCCGACGAGAGACGATCTCCGGCCACTGTAAGCGCGGGACTGCGGACGGCGAGTAGCGTTCCGCGCGCGCCTCAAAGAACCAATAGTCCACCACAGACAGGGACCTACAGGGCTGATGTTCAGCCAAGTTTGCAGGGTAAGCACAATAAGGCACCGCGACCTTGTCCTAAAGCAGGAGAAGGAACGGTGGGGTTTTGAGTCTGACCGTCTCTATCGTCTTACCCTGAGCGGAAAAGTCATTTGATAATTTTCTCCGGAAAAAACAAAGGTAAGCTGTCAGAAAGGTCTCAATTTCAATGAAATTAATATACCAAGCGAAACTCGATTCATATCCTAGTCTAGC